TGATGTCGGATCACCATTTCAACTCCTCAGGAGTGCTCATACACGATCGCAACCGAAGATATTCGAACCTAGGACTTATTGGCCTCGTGTCCAAGAACGCTTAACCACAAGACCACTGAGCCAACATCCAACCGTGTTAATGTCTTACTTCAACTAATCTGCGAAATTGAACTACCTTCCACCATTGTCCACAGTGAATTACTATCTCACAACAATTCTGGTTGAACTCCACTGGTCACTGTTTCTCACTAGAACTCCAGGAAATACCTCTTAAAGCCAATCAGTCAGTCACTAGTGTGCATATGATGATAATCAGAGAGGTTTTTTGTGCATACACACTTCTGTTTATTCTATATGCATAGTGAAGGTCTCAATCATTAAGGAGAATATAAAACCGCATTACCATTGATTAGTTTCTATTTATCTTAAAGTTGACTATGAATGATAAGCCAATCCTTATAGTTTGAACACTGTTAATGGTGTTCAGCGATTGACCTTCTTGTCAATTCACTGTTACATATTTTCAACCAAGCAGGATATTTTTCTAAAATCATCCTGGATATAGAAAGATTTGAATGAGTGTGTGTCAATTCTCTGTTTTTGTGTTCTTTCCATTGTGTTAAAACCTCTGCCAAATATGTTGGACAAATCAGAATTGTATATATAGCCCTTCTATCCCATACAAACGAAAAAATACAGGTCAAAATAACCACTGTAGTGGAAGCCTCTGCATCAGCAGGCCTCAACACGTACAAACGAAATGGCAAGATCATCAAATACCACACAGAGAATACCAACTCAATCCCACTTGATGGGGACATAGAGGCAAGGATCGACAAAATAAGGGCCTCATTCCTACAATTGAAGAACATAAGGAGCTCAAAACAATTGTCTGCCAACCAATATCGAAGTCACAATTTTCCATACGAACGTCAACACAGTTCTACTCTACGGAGTTGAAACTTCGAGAGCTACCACAACCATAATAAAAGAAGTACACGTCTTTATAAACAATTGAGTACACAGGATACTGAATGTCTGTTGACCGGATTATTTTAGCAACAGCCTACTGTAGAAGGGAATAAACCAACTTCCTGCCGAAAAGGAAATTAGGAAAAAACGATGCGAAAATCATCAAACTGCATCAAAAGACAAGCGCTAACTCAGAATCCTAAAAGGAAACGGAAAAGAAGAAGACCAAAGAACACATTGCGTTTAGAATTGGACGAAGACATCATGAAAATGAATTACAACTCGAAAGGATTGTCCAGAAAATATTTGGATGGAGAATGGTGGTGGATGGCCTATGCTCTTACACAAAGGGTGACAAGCGTACCATGATAGCAACTATAATCCTCTATCAATTGCCTCCAGCTTCATTATTCCTTCATTATTATAACAATTACTCACTGTTCCTGCTCTCTTCATTTCGATCTTCCCAACTTTCTACTTTTAGTCATTCCAATTCTGATTGATGTTATATACTACTTATGTCAACATAAGTAACATACACCACACAAGTTCGTTGAGACTTCAATCGAAAAAGAACTAATTGAAAATCAGATCAATATTAGAGTTCCTTAGATTAGCAGAGATGGATATTGGTTAAAAGTGAAATCGAGGACGCACATTTCATCCTACTCGGGACTTGTCAGTCGAATGTATATGCATCTGAGTTGATGTTCACTTTGGGACTCGAACCCAGTACCATTCAATTCAAACGCCATCGCGTTTTTCACTTCGCAATACGTACAGTATGGACATATACTAATAAGAGATAGAAAGGGGAAAATTCAAGTAAACAATACCAAGGTTTAGTTTCAATGAACTACTTTTGAAATGTACAATAAATGCTCATTTAGTCTTTGATAATAGTTATGATAGACAAAATGATAGAATAGCAATAGGTTCACTTCTATATTCTATCTTTGCTGATTTTGTTTTCTTCCGAAACTAGAAAACGGTCATCTCAAGGAGGTCATTGATAACTTACTTACTTACGCCTGTTACTCCCAATGGAGCATAGGCCGCCGACCAGCATTCTCCAGCCCACTCTGTTCTGGTCATTGATAAGCTAGGATTTTATTACCGTTATATTGATGATACTTTCATTATTATTAACAAAGAACTGGAGTTTATTCATAATATGCTAATCTAAATGGGTTACTCACAAGGTTTTCCGAAGTAAAGCGTTTATATAATGAACAGAAAAGTGATGAAGTCGATGGTTATTCAGAAAACTCTAGTGATCCACTATGAGATTGATTCAACCAATCAAGAAGAAGTTTAATACCTCTGACCTCTATCTGCTACTTTTTAGCTGAATTATGATGATCCTTTAACAAAAGGATGAGTTAACTGATTTCTTAACAGCCTTAGGAATCTAGAATTTCAGTTGATCTTGTGGAGAAAGCTATTTTGGTATAACAACCAGATAAATTAGCCGACGAGTTAGTGTACATCTGCATTCGTGATTAGAAAAGAGAATGACAAAACAATACGCAGCTCCATTCCATTACACTTAGTCCATGGAGGTTATACTGGAGACACAAACAGATGATTCTAAGTAATTTAACTTGTGTGAAGGATAAGCATTGTGATTTACACTTGATATCATCTAAAATGCTAAAACGCTATTTAGCCAAATGAGTCAATGAATTTCGCACCGAAATCCAAGACCTGTTATCGTAAATCGGATTGGTTCGTCCGTAAATTGTAGTCAATGAAATCATATTATATCGGCGACCTTAAGGGATTACGAGGGTGCCCTATAGATAGCCAATCAGAATGCATCTCCTATGTGAGAGCTCTAAAATTTAGTAAAAATGATAACATTACGGGAAATTTTGAGGTTTAATATCATTATTGAACTTGTCGTACCTCAGGGAGTTGTACTCATGATTGTGATGCGCATTCTCACGAACAACAGTTAAATAACCCTCAGCAAAATTTACAATAGACGAAAGCCGGACAATGAGTGCTCAGAAGGGTTTTTTGTGAACATTATAGTAAGTTTAATAATTGAGATCATAAGTCAATAGAAGCTAGACCACTATGGTAAACCTAAAAAGCATTAGACGGTTGTGTCGATCCATCGTAGGACTCTTCAGTAGTGCGTATCCACAATCACGCATTGCAAGATCCAAACCCAGAACCTATCAGTCTCGCGCACGAACATTTAAATTCTAGACCACTGAGTTGACATACAGTGTGTTAATTTCTAACTTCAATTAATCTACGAAATTGAGTGACACATCGATCATTGTCTTCAGTGAGTTGCCATCTCACAATAGACTCGGATGAACGCCACTGGACACTGTTTCTCACTAGAACTCCAGGATATATCTCTTGAATATGATCACTGGTGGACATACGAAGTTCATCATCAGAAAGTGTTTTGTGGATATTATAGTACTTTTAATAGTTGAGATCATGAGTCAATCCTTTTTTCACTTATTTTTCTTCACTACTTCATCTCAAACTGACGCTTTACTTTCTGATTATTGAATAATCCTTATTACGTAATCCTCCAAGCCTTTTACCCTTACTATTCTTCTTATAAATAGTATACCTATCATTACATTATCAAATCGTACCTATCATTTATTATTTTTATTCATGTTATCTATTCCACTGTTATCACTGACTTATAAACTACCTTGATTGATTGATTGATTAATTGTGCATATTACTCTAAAGGGTAAAGCCTGATGAGAATCATTATCATACATAAACCTATTAATTTCCTTGCTCATTACTCGTGCAAGAACATTGGTGGTAAAGTGTCTTTTTTCATAATTCTCTTCTTTACTTTTCTGTGTACAAGATTTCTGGAAGGGGGTGGGTGGGTAAAGTTAATACAGTAAGTTACTCAGATACCGATCAAAGGGTTGACATATCTAGTCAAACATGATATGGTTTCATCATCTACGGAATGAGACACACCTTACAGGTGGGAAAATGTCGCTTAAACATCTAAGGGATAAGTAAATGAAATATGAATGTATAGGTTTTTATCAATTCAGGTGGCCAATAGAAATTTTCCTTCTCATTCTCAATCTTCCTACTCAATTAATCGATCGAGCTTCTTTTTTAGAAGCATATTTATCAATATCAAAATTGGATACCGTAAAACACATCATAAGTAAACGGTTGAGAAGTCAAATCGTTTACAAACTGAGAGAATAGTGAAGAAGATTTATAGTTCAGGTGGATGATTTTTATGGAGTTTTGTTCTTTAAACTGGATGGTTTTCTTGTGTAGCTTTCATCGTTCGAACACCACTTCTACATGAAGTTTGTGCAGGTGATGCTGTTCAAAAGAACAATGAAAGCTCTACGACCAAACCATCCAGCTTAGAGAACAAAACTCCATCAAAAATTAAGAGAATGTTTGTACACATATACTTTGGAAAATATACATGCAGAAAATGTTTTCTTTTGTGGAATAAGTCATAAGAAGTGATGACTAGGTTAGACAATTGAATGTATAATGAAAACTGTATTTACAAATAATATAAAATGATATTCGTATTCTACTGTAAATAGATATGAATTGAATTACGAAATGTAGACTAGTATGTTTTAAGTCAATTAAAGCTAGACCACTATGGAAGACCTGAAAGAACTGGACGGTTGTTTCGTCCTAGTATATGACTCCTCACCAGTGCGCATCCATGATCCCTCACGCGTCCACGCCGTGGAATATGGAGTTCAATCGTGTATGTTGTAGAGGCAGTTACTCACTGAAGACAATAATGTACGGTAGCTCAATTTCGTGGATTGGTTAAAGTTAAACATTAACGTCATTGTATGCTGGATCAGCGATCTAGAAGTTAAGCATTTACCCACAAGACCGAAGGTCCTGGAGTGGAGTCCCGCGTACGGTATCGTGGATGCGCACTATTGAGGAGTCCCACACTAGGAAACAATGGATGTTCAGGTTTTTCGTGATGGTCTAGATTCAATTCAGTCACGGATTCAACTATAGAATAGACTTACTTGATATTTGTGGAATAATGTTACAAACAGGTGTAAGGGATGTTTTCCAGAAGATCTAGGCTGAAATCAAACAGTTTATAAGATGTAAACTTGTTAAATACATTAAAAATCTTTGTAGAATACCTTAGAATATTTAATTCATCAGTCAGTTAAATAGATGAGCTGTTTGCATGATCTAGAATAGTTTTATTAAATATATGAAGAGGATAAAAATGTATCATGTTCATATCATGTTACCAATAATAGTACTTCACATGGTTGGATATAATGTACTAGTAAATTAATAAACTATAAGAACAGATGTAAAAGATCTATAGTGACTAGCAGTGGAATTCAGTTTGACGCGCGTTTCGTCCTACTCCAGATTCGTCAGCAGGATATTCACTCTGGGACTCAAACGCCAGTACGATTCAGTTCAGATGCCGTCGCGTTGTTCACTTAGCTAGTAAGTCCTGATAACCACATGCTTGTGCAATGGGGTGAAGTTTTTAATTCACTTGATGTCGTTTACTTGTATCCTTCCTTTGTTATTTAGGAGTGGAATTGATCAGTCTCTTATTGACATATGTACATCCTATACAGATTGATGGTGTTTACTTGTCTCTTCCCATTGCAGGATTGATGAATCAAGTCATATTTAATCGAAATAAAATGCCGATGCTGTGAGAATTACAAAATATATGAATGATCTTTAAGCAACGCCTTAGTGATCATATGAATGTCCACCTGTCCACTTGGGTTAAATAAGGAATATAAAGCAGTTTCAAGAATAAGAATTATGATTTACAGTTGATGATTGGGGTTAGGAATTATATTACGTACTGACATCAGCTAAAATGCCAAACACGCTATTTAGATAAATGGTTAAATAAATTTCGCGCCAAAATCCAAGATCGATTATTTTAAATCTGATAGCGAAATTTCGTGGATTGTTTGTTGTTAAACACTATCACCGTTGGATGTTGGCTCAGTGGTCCAGTAGGTTAAGCGTTCACGTGCGAGACCGAAGGCCGTGGGCTCGAGTCCCGCGAGCGGGATCGTGAATGTGCACTGCTGAGGAGTCCCACAATAGGACGAAACGGCCGTCCATTGCTTCCAGGTTTCCAAATGTGGTCTAACATCAATCGATTCATGATCTCAATCATAAATCTGATTGGTTCGTCTATAAATTATAGTCTCCTTGGAAACGATTAAGTATTATCTTCTCTTTTTCTTTCAATGTATCAGTTTAAAGGGATATACCTACATTGATGTACATTCTTGTAATATCGGTTACATTATCCATTTCTAGAGATTAAGTATTATAATGAGCAGTATAAATTATTCGGCATATAACATTGTTGTACATTAATGTACCTCAATTGTACTTGTATCAGATGGTAATGTCATGGAATTAAGCATCATCATTTGAAGGGATTGTAAATGAAATTTACTTGATTAATTGAGTTTAAACGATTTTCCCATAAATCCTCATTCTGATGATTATCATATACTCACGAGTGACTACTTTCAAGATGAATTTCCGGGAGTTTCAGTGAGAAGCAGTGATCATTGAGGTTCAATCCGTGTTGAATATGAGACAGTTATCCACCTCAGACAATAGATGAAATCTTGCACCAAATCATGAATCGATTAAAGTTAGACATTAACACTGTCGGATACCATTTCAGTAGTGTAGAGTTTAAGTGTTTATGCGCTAGATTGAAGGCTATGGGTTTGAATCCTGTGTGAGGAATCATAGATGTACACTATTGAGGAGTCAGTTTTTAGGACAAAGCAGTGATTTAGTATTCCCAGATTTTAAATATTGATCTACCTTAGATTGATTCATGAATTCAACGATTAAAATGACTGTCATCTTCACGTGATGAATATGTTAGTAGCTGTTAATGTTATTCAATGACAAAATTTAATCTTTCATCAGTCATTTATTAGTAGTATGTTGAGATGATGAATGATTTTGATGAAGTTTTCTTCTCTGAGCTTAGATGATTTGATTGTGGAACATTCATTGTTCTTCTGAATGATATCATCACTATAAAATAAAGTTTGTCATTTAGTAGAACAATGAAAGTTCCACAACTAAATCATCCAAGCTCAAAGAACAAAACTTCATCAAAATTAGTAGTATCTACTTTAATGTATTAAATTTTCAGAACTATGGAAATTTGTTTACAATTACGTAATCCTTATTTGAATGATTACAGTATTGATTATATGATACATAAATATTGGTACAAAAAGATACCAAATACATATGCGCCACTGAGTAACCATGAGGCGAGTAGTGGTTATCATTGATTTTTGTGAGAGCTATGATGCTATCTGGATGACCAAACCGATACAAATAGTTTTCTTAGGGGGTCATACCCTGAGCCTTTGAACTAAAGGTCTAATCCATAAAGCAGTGGATCAATGTTAAGAAGTATAGTCCCAAGGGAGTCAGTTACTAACAATATTTTTATTCATCATTCGTTCCGTCGGGATCCTAGATCGCATGTACACCATTGAGTTAGAATCAGGGTTTTCCAATTCCTTAAGAGATATCCTTCGTATTCATCGACCTGGTTAAAGCAATGGACATTCGCTTTTCGTCCTCTTGATTTTGTAAACAACACCTTTAGTGTGAGAAGGCAATGAGTAACACCTTCCTGACATTGGTTATATGCACGTAATCATGTGAGCACATTTCAAGAGGTATAGTTGACTCTCCCCCACCCTCAACCGTATCAAGATGTTTGGATATAAAAAATGTATCATGTAGGTGAGATTCAATCCCACAGTCTTTTCAAACTAGCACTTTGGCCAACTTGTTCATATTGTCTATCATTCAAAAATATTTATCTTTGATCAATTTCTTATCTAAATAGGGTTGTGTTTTTTTCTCATAGACATATTATGAAATAGACCTTGCACTATACATAATTCTATTCTAAATGTCAAAGGTGATTAGGTAATATAATGTAGTGACAAAGTCAACTTTAAACAACCTAACTCATTCCATTCTATTTATATATATATATACATATAGATATACATCTATAGAGAGAGACATTAGGTATATATTGGTGAGACTATAATTTATGGACGACCTTTGAACGACGCTAAATTGACTTTAAAACTGTCCATCTAATAAAATAGGACCAAATAAAAGTTCTAAACTGATCTAAAGCATTCAACAAATCTCATTGATCATTAATAATTAAAGATTAAAAATGAACAAAATAGAATTTTTGCGCCAAAATCCCATAACCTGATTGGTTCGTCCATAAATGATAATCTCTCATCGGTCAATTAAATAATTAAGAAAATTTTTTTTAAAAAAAAAAGAAAGAAAAAGAGAGAGAAAAAGAGGGAGAAAATTAATCATAAAAGAAATTTCAATGATGACTTACAGTGAATGAGTTCTAATTCTTTATTCAATGTTCAATAGTTTCCTTGAATGAAAACTATTTTTATAAATGATTATTATTCAATCTTGAATGATTAAAATAATCAGATTTATATTTATATTTATATGATTGTTTCAATAATAAAGAGAATAAGCATTTTATTGTTTAAATGAATCATTGAATTTGTACGTGTGTGTGTGCGTGTGCCCGCGCGTGCTTGTGTGCGTGCGTGCGTGCGTATGAGTGCGCGGGCTTATTAAACAAATAAAATAATAATAATAATCGTTTTTGTATTCTACACATTTTCGGAGAGTGAGAAAGAGAGAAAAAAAACACAAAACTAAACTAAACTAAACAAAAAAAATTTATTGATAAATGAGCATAAAAATTATATTTTGCGAAAAAAAAAGAACCCATAGGTGTATGTGTGTGCGTGTGTGTGTGTTTGTGTAAATGTGAATATGAATGTGTGATATCGAATGTGTAAAGAGCCATAAGATTTTGTCGCGGTTTTTTTTTTTAGTATTTCTCAATGGTAGCACAGTTAATAATAATCATAATAAATAATCATTATGATTATTACCAATATAGTTTGATAATCATTAACAAAACATACAAACAATTAATTGAATTCATAGATGATTGAATTCTATACACAGGGATGTTTGTATAAAGAAACACCTTGGTTGTTTTTGTTATTTTTTTGTCTTTACATGTACAAGTAAATACTTATCCATACATATATATATATATATAGAAATTAAGTAGTTGATAACTAGAGTAAGTCAACAGACTATCAGTCATTTAACTAAATTATCTTATGATGTGAATGTGGAGGGAGGGGTGGCTTGAAGGGTAGTTGGTGGGGCTAGGTTTCTAGGTGGATATATATGTGTGTGGGGGGGGTATGTGTATATGTGTGTTGTGTATACATAAATATATGTATATATAACCATTGTCAAATGATAAGTAAACACTTATAAAAATTATCAAAAAAAAAAACAATGTTCTACTCAACTAAGTAATTCTCAATACTTAGTAACATCATACACATTTTATCGCAAAAAAAAACACACAAAAACATAACACTCAACTTGTTATTTAAGTTACTTATTGTTCTAGTAAATTATGTTCACATAGATTTTATAAATTGACTTATCTTTATTAGAAATATTTACAATAAGCTTAATAGAGATAAGATTATCATAGATGAATGATCTTTGAAGGACTTTAAAATGATCTTGATTACATCCATTTACTAAGCTGCGATGGCCAAACTACAAGGTGGTGTCAGTGCTTAAAGACACTAACTTCTAGTCTGAGCCATATTGATAGATATAGACTATTCGGTTAGAATGCAAGTGAATATCGTAATGAATGGTTGAAGATTCTGGGTGATATATGGCTCAGAATCGATCACAATGGTGTAGGTGTATACACTCTGTCTTCCTTTAAACTATGCGATTAAAATTGCTTCATATCTTTCTTCTTACTATCTAATTCTTTCTTTCTGTACTATATCCATACATGCAATCTTTCTATATTACTACCATTGAATTACCTACTTCTATGAATCCGGCGTTGATCTTGTTGTGCTAATGAGGTGTGGCAACTTCGACCGATGCATATATGTGCTTGGTCTTACATCGTAACTAATTGACTAACTGAATCTACCACTAAATAAAGGTTTTAAACCTGTGTGAAGTATAAGGATTATGATATTTATATATGTAGTTGATGGTTAGGTTTAGGAATTCGATTAACGGTTTACATCATGAACTGACATCAGTTCTTTAACGGAATGGATGAATGAATTTTGAGCTAAAATTCAAGATTTGTTATGTTAAATCTGATTGTCTCATCCATTTAATAATAGTCTCGGCACAAAATACTATAAACTCATACTTGATAATTTTAAAAGTTAAGATCATGAGTCACTTGAAGCTAGAATATCATGGACAACCTGGAAGCACTGAACGGCCGTTTCGTCTTTGACAGTGAGCATCCACGATCCCACCTAGCAAGATTTGAATACCGTCGAATGTCGGCAAGTTTAATAATCTAGAGGTTAGACGTTCGCGCGCGAAACTGGTAGGTCCTGGACTCGAATCTCACTAGGCAATATGGTGGATGTACACTGCCAAGTAATCTCATTCTAGGACAAAGGGGCCGCCTAGTGTTTCCAGGTTTTCTATGGTGGTCTAGCTTTAATTGACTCATGATCTCAACTATTAAAATTACTATAATATTCACAAAAACCACTACTCATATTTAATAGTTTCAATACCATAAGATCTGATGGCTTTTTCTAAATTTGATACCATATATACAATAGTGTGAAGATTAAGACTAAAATGAAAGATAGATATACATATTGTTAGTATTATTCAAGAAGTGTTTGTGTTTCGGATTGAATTCGAACCAGGCGTTATTCATCGTTAGTATTCCGTAGTTTATTATATAACATATTTAAATTCAATCAGAACTATATTACGAACATATCGAGCTGATGAATTTCAGGATCAACTATACAACATTGATACTGTAGAGAACGAGAATACAAGTGATGAGTAACCAAATGTATGTGAATACACAATTCCTTCGTTTTTACACCAATCATTCTCTGATCCGATTGATACTTCCTTAATTAAAACATGTACTTTAATAGATATAATGTTATTACTATTATAATAGTGGTAATAGTAGTACCACCAGATAGCCCCACCGAACACCTCAGCTCCAAACCAGCAATGGTTTCCGCAGAATAACACCCCTCCCAACCTAGTTGGCAGCGATACCAAATGTAGTGAACGAGAACACAAACAGGGACGACCAAATGTATTTGAATACGAAATTACAGAACATCTTAGTAAAATCTGACAATAGTACAATAAATAATTCATTATCAGAATGGATTTTGTGGAGAGTTTTTAGAAATTTCACAGGTTGAAATCATGAGTCAGTTGAAGTTAGACCACCATTGAAAACCTGGAAGCACTGGACGGCTGTTTCGTCCTGGATGCGCACTGCTGAGGAATCCCATACCAGGACGAAACGGCCGTCCAGTGCTTCCAGGTTTTCAATGGTGGTCTAGCTTCAACTGACTCATGATTTCAACCTGTGAAATAATTCATTTGCAAAATGTCAATCAATTGTCTTAGATTTCATTGTTTCTTCGTTTCTATGCCAATCATTCTCTGTTCTTATTCTGTTCTCTTTGATTTTCTTGACCTTCTGTCGCATGGCACTCCACTTTCGATTGATGATACATACTACTTATATTTGTCAATATCAGTAGAATACACCACAATATTACTGTTAAATACAATTCAAACGTATTCCATAATAAATATCCAGTGTTGTTTGTCTTCCTATGATCACATCAAATAAAATAGATTTGTGATTAGAATTAGCTTGCATCTGATGTCAACTAGAATTCAGTTAAAAGTCCGCCACAGAAAATTGAGCCAGTGGTGACGATTAATTAATTAGTACTTTTCAATGGATAATACATGTAGTTCAGTGAGAACTGATGTTTCCCATTGCATTCGAAACCGTGTCACTTATTTGCATTGTTTAATAAGTTGGATAACAGTGGAATCCAGGACGCGTGTTTCGTCCTGTTTGAGACCGGTCAGCATGTATCTGCATCTCAGAGTTGATGTTCACCCTGGGACTCAAACCCAGTACCGTTCGCTTTCAACGCCATCACATTTCCCACTTAGCTACTGAGTTACAATGGAGATATTTATACCAGAGCTGACTTCCTGCGAGACTGAGATATTTGTAATGATTGATCGTCAAGTAGTAATAAATGTCATAATTATGTCGATCAAGTTGTAATGTAGCCATTAGTCTAAATATTTCGATATTGCATGTATACCTATAGTGAGTAAAATCCACTCGCATAAGATCCGAACAGAGTACGATTTCATAGTAGGTACCTTTAACAACCTAGCATTAAAGCACAATATTTATGATGTCCAGTCACTAAAACCAGTGGTCACATTCAAACTTGATGAATAGAATTTGATCAGTAATTAAGGACTAGATACAAATGACAATAGTTACTACTCAGTTCACATTTAATCTGAACACTTCATGAAATATACAACAAAAGTTGATCACAATAAACACAAATGAACATATGTAAGACTTTTATTGCAAATCCTATATTATTTTGGACAGCTGTTTGGTGAAGACGCTGATAAAATGCACAGTCTTTTGGTAGCACTAAGTAACAATGCAAGAATGTTTGGAATGCGCTTCTCTCCCTCTAAATGCAAGTTGTTGCTTCAGGACTGGTCTGCGTCAACACCTGAACTAAGGATAGGGGGTGAGGTAGTTGAACACGTTGAAAAATTCACTTATCTTAAAATTCTGATCAGCCCAATGGGTTGATGTCTAAAGAAATCTCAGCACGGATTCGAAAAGCTCGTTTGGCTTTTGCCAACTTACGTCATCTTTGGCGAAGGCGAGATATCCGTCTATCAATAAAAGGGCGAGTATACTGCGCGGCAGTTCGTTCTGTTTTACTTTACGGCTGCGAAACATGGCCCTTAAGAGTGGAAGATAATCGTAAGCTACCAATATTTGACCACAAATGCCTTAGAAATGTTGCTGGCATCTCCTGGAATCACCGAGTAAGTAATAGTGATGTTAGACGCAAGGTATTAGGGTATGATGGTATATCAGTTGATGAGGTTGTGAATCTTCGTCAACTGAGATGGTGGGGCCACGTGTTGCGTATGCCCGAACACCGATTACCACGACGGGCAATGCTGAATAGTGTTGGAGATGGTTGGAAGAGAGTTAGGGGCGGCCAAACCAAAATGTGGCATCAGTCCACAAAGTCACTAACTTCTAGTGTGAGCCATGTTGATAGATGGAGACTACTTTGTTGGGGTCTGCGTGACTATCGTAACCAATGTTTGGAGACTGTGGGTGATATGGCTTAGAATCGATCACAATAGCGTAGGTGTGGCAACTTGGACCGATGCATGTATGTGCTTGGTCATCCGTTGTAGCTGACTGACTGCATCGACTAAAAATATTTGATAACTTGCTAATTATTGAAGCAAAAATCAATCGAATTCATTTAGATTGGGATGAAAAACAACTTTTAAAAGCCAATCACTTTTGTTGAATAATATTGAAGTCCTTATTGGCCATATGCTTTACTCTACATCATGATTTGAGTATGCATTCTAATACTACTTACAAGTAGTTAACATCTGATAGTGATAATTTCCCTTTAATCAAGTTGTGACGATGGATTTAGGTTTGCATCCATCTTATATGAATGATGAGGTTTCATTTAATGTATAAGTTACTGTCATATACCATTCTATTCTGAAGCTACTGTGATTTAAGCATTATCCTTGTATTCCGTTTTTCTATTCTAATATTCTCTTTCTCCTGGTGATCGACTGGATCATGAAGATGTCAATGTGTGAAGGGAAACGCGGGATACAATGGACATCTAAGATGCAGTTGGATGATCTAGACTTCGCAGACGATCTGGTCCTTCTATCCCAAACGCAACAACAGATGCAGGAGAAGACGAACAGTGTGGCAGCAGCCTCAGCAGCAATAGGTCTCAATATACACAAAGGGAAAAGCAAGATTCTCCGATACAACACAGCATGCACCAATCCAATCACAATTGACGGAGAAGATTTGGAAGATGTAAAAACCTTTACATATTTGGGCAGCATCGTTGATGAACAGGGTGGATCTGATGCAGATGTGAAGGCACGGATCGGCAAAGCAAGAGCAGCATATTTACAACTGAAGAACATCTGGAGCTCAAAGCAACTGTCAACCAACACCAAGGTCAGGATTTTCAATACAAATCTCAAGACAGTTCTACTGTATGGGGCAGAAACCTGGAGAACTACGAAAGCCGTCATCCAGAAAATACAGGTGTTTATTAACAGTTGTCTACGCAAAATACTTCAGATCCATTGGCCGGACACTATTAGCAACAACGTACTGTGGGAGAGAACAAACCAGATCCCAGTGGAGGAAGAAATCAGGAAGAAGCGCTGGAAGTGGATAGGACACACATTGAGGAAAGCACCGAACTGCGTCACAAGACAAACTCTCACATGGAATCCTGAAGGTCAAAGGAAAAGAGGAAGACCAAAGAACACATTACGCCGAGAACTGGAGATAGACATGAGAAACATGAACAAGAATTGGATGGAACTAGAAAAGAAGGCCCAGGACAGAGTGGGTTGGAGAATGCTGGTCGGTGGCCTATGCTCCATTGGGAGTAACAGGCGTAAGTAAGTAAGTAATATGATTGTACTGTTTACATTTCGTTTGTTTTGTGGTCTTGGTAGTTGTTTGTTTACACATGTATCTTTTTTGAGTCGACGGAATCCGTTAGGATGCAGCTGGACTATCTACGCTTCACAAATGATCTGATTCCGCCCACCTATCAATATTATCATAAGTCATTAGTAGGGAATTTTCAGTTATTCTGCTCTCAAAGTTGTTCAATTACAAACTAGACTCATGAGTTACAAACCTCAAGGTTATATCAAGTAATCAATTACATCACGGCTGTAAACTAAATTAAAGCGATCCTCTCTCTCTCTACATATTAAATATGGACTGAAAGGTAAACGAATGAAGGTTATAACAGGATCATACAACTTATTGTGATACTGAGTACTGAGCTCATGTCTCTCTCGTGTATGATGGATAAAGAAACATGTCGTTATCAGTTCAATTTGTAGTAAGCATTCTCACTTGATGATGAGTGACTTATATTGACTATAACAAACAATTATAAAGTATAGATTTGTTGGAATATTGAATGTGTGTGTGTTGTATCCCGACGAGAATTATGAATGGTTACTGTTGGAATGTATTTATGGACTAATCCGATACATATATTCTTATTGTATAACTATTCAATAGCTAGATTATGTAATATCTATACTTCTCTTACTACAAGCTTTATTTTAACCCATAGACTATTATTATACGATTTACCGTTCTTGATTTATGCCTAGTCTATTAATGACACTCTTCCACATTCATAGCCAATTTGGTTTGTATGTAAACTCAGATTGATAGGCCCTGGGTTCGAATCTCGTGAAGCAAGATCGTGGATGCACAATGCTTAGGAGTTCCAAAATAGAACGAAACAGCCATCCAGTGCTTCCAGATTTTCTATGATAGTCTAGCTTTAATTGACTCATGAATTCAACTATAAACTGAGTATGTTTAAAATACATGATTCATATTTTGGAGGCTAAGATTTGTGTTCTAGACTCAACAAGGAGTATAGTACAGTGAAATAAATTTGGAAAAAGAAAAAAGAAACGGACATGAAGAATTCAAAAGATTAGAATTTGAGAGAACACAAAGAGTGGGTGCACCTGTGCCATTGCAAACGATTTTGAGCCATGTCATTCAGGGTCTCTAACCATCGGTTGCTATCATCTCGCTGTCCCCAACCAGGTAGTCTACACCTACCAATATGACTCAGTTTACTTGTCAGTGACTTCATGGGCTTGTGCCATGTTTTGGTCTGGCCGCCCCTAGCTTTCTTCCAACGTACTGCTATACCATTGAGCATCGCAACCTTACGTATTAAAATTCTGAGTGATACTTATACTCTTAAATCCAATATGCAACATATTAAATGAATGGAATAATGCCCGAAAATGATTGAGAAAATAAAGCTGATCTCCATCCATTGGTTGGAGACTCTTGGTGACATGGTTCAGAATCGATCGCAATGGCGTAGGTGTTTACACTCTTTATCTGCCCTTAAACTAAGAAATTAAAATCGCTTCATATCTTTCTTTCTACAAACGAATTCTTTCTTCCTGTACTATGTGGAATCTTTCTTTTATATATTACCACCTCTGAATTAACTACTTTTATGAATCCGGTGTTGCTCTTGTTGTGCTAATGAGGTATAGCAACTTGGACTGATGCACATATGTGCCTACTCCTACGTTGTGACTGACTGACTGACTGACTGGATTGATAAGTATCTTTCTCATACCCAACACGGTCGTGCTTAATTTGTCACAGATTCCTGCTAAAACTCGGGGAATGTGTCATGACAAGACGCAATGGCCATTCACAGTGCTCCTAGGTTTTTAATGGTTGTCTAAGTTTGTGATTTTAATTAAACTTAAGAATTTCTACAACCTTATTACTGATAAAGCTGTGTTCATAAAAAGCTAAACACTGAAATACGAAGATATAGCTTTAATATATGAAATCATTGACTGTTGAATTAACTCTTGTTGACAGATGTTCAAGTTGGAATTGTACATTGAAATGATGGTTTATTGATTTTAATGAATAGGTGTACATTGTGAAGCCTGGTATAGGCAGTCACTGATCTATACTTCTAAGGAATCTTACTTTAGAATGAAATAACATTTCATTATTCTCTGGCTTACAACTAGTATCTTAAATAAGATCAATCTGTGATGAATACAACCTACTAATGATCTTCAATTACACAACTGATTGGAGAGAAAAAAAACACAACTTCAAAACTATTGATTGAAAATAAGAGTTTCGTCTTAGTTATTTGTAATTCTTCATCAGTCATCAACATTAACGAGATTACACAGGATCAATCATCACTGTACATTACACTAAGAACATTATATACATACATATATATATATATATATATTTACAAATAGAATAATGTATACATTATATTATAATCAATCATACATTATACCTATAACATGGATCTTATATTAAAAGTGTATTCTGTTGTAAGTAGTATAAAATGATTGAAGCTAAAAAACCTGGAATAGAATGATTTACATTTAAATAATGATAAATATTATCTGGTAATGATTTAGTAAAATTATTTTCAACTAATTCAAATTTTCCATCGACTTTCTATAATGAAAAAACAAAAAGGAGAGTAAAAAGAAAGTTTAGTGAATATATTAAGAGAATAGTAATATGAAATATCACTATTGAGGATCCACCTTAGTTAGACAATCATTAAAGATTAAGAAGAACTAGACTGATGGATACTGGCTACGATGGGACTGCATTGCCTGACGTTGTTCCACTACCTTATGGATCAAACCTTCAGTTCGAAGGCTCCTGGTGTGGCTCTCTAAGAAAACCAACTGCTTCGGTTTGGGCATCCGGGCAGTATTCCAGCCCTCACATAAATTATTCGATTTATGTGGCGCTTATCTATTTGGTGCCTCCTTGTACCAATGTTTATATGTTTAAAATAAATAAATAAATAAGAACTGGACTTCTTAGTAGTGCAGATCTCAATGAGCGATTAAACTTATGACGAAAAACGAATGTTCTGTGCTTCAAGCGGGTTGATGAACGCAGAAGGTTCACCTAAGGGATTTGGAAAATCCTCATTCCAAATCAATGGTGAACATGGGTTGGCTACAGGATCCTGAAGGAACAAATGGTGTATGAAGCAATTATTGACCATCGGCTATCATGGAACTGCATCTCTTTACGTTGCTCCACTACCTTATTGATCAAACATCTAGGCTAAAGGCTCCGGTGTGGCTCCCTAAGAAAATCATCTGCTTCGCTCTGGGCACCCGGGCAGTATCCCAGCCGTCGCACAAATCGAATAATTTATGTGGCGCATATGTACTCGTTGGCCCTTTGTGCCAATATTTATGGGTTCAAATAAATAAACAAAATAATTTCCAGAGTAAGCGCTCAATCTTAAAGACCATTGATTTAGTAGTGCATTAGATGAATCCATCAGATATTTTGTTACATATGTTTTGTCACTGGATTCAATCTATCCTCAAAATAGCAATATACATACTTGGACATTATATAATGAATTGTTTCCATCAGAGTATATTACAAAGCAAGTTGTATCGTATAAGTCGAGGAAATATACTTAGTTCGACTAAGACAGCAGAAATATGTGTTGCGTATGTCCATTCACTCCATACCTTGATAATAGGTGTTCCGTTGAATTAGCGGTCAAGCTTCTTTATCGTTAAGATCTAATCGAGTTATATTGGATGTAACACTTGTTCCAATTAAGTTATGTCATTCCAGGTAGGTAGGATGGAAAGTGATGAGTGAGTATAAAAGTAGTAAATTGAAAATCCAAGAGCGAAATTGTGCTGCCTACCATACAGAGAGGTTTAACGGCAGTAGGAATTTTCCAGCAGATAACCAGCATTTCTTGGCGATGCTGACTCTTCATACCATAAAGAACGGGTTAGGAATAATCATGTTTTACTGTTTTCCACGGATGTTCACCACTAACTTTACAACCTTAAAGGTATGGAGCTGACAGACTTAAAACTACCAACATAAAGGTCATATATACCCGGTCTCAAGCAGTTGTATCTTGGCTGTTACAGTCAAGCTTCCAGGTAGACAATACTAAATCTGACTCAACTTTTTTTTCTTCCCCAGTAACTCAAAAAATATCATTCCGTAGCGTGGAGAACCAGAAAAATGACAACTGCCCATACATCTCTGACAGTACACAAGATCATGACATTCGATGCTAGCAAGTGTAGGATTCGATTGAAAGAAACCTAAGGGAGACCAAACCAACATGTCACTGATTGTTGTTTGTAGTCTTGTTGATGAATGAAGACTACCTAATTCCATCCATTGTGATAATATTGATAGATGGTCAGAGATTTTAGATTATACGGCATAAAATAAAACACAACAATGTATATTCATACTTAGATTAGATAGTGGTTGGAGGTAGTCCATAGGAAACACTGGATCCGGTTTTCGTGCAACTTGGCACTCGTCAGCAAGGTGTACCTGTAATCTTGAGGGAACTGGTGCTTCCCGGCGGATTCGATCTCGTGTCACCCATATAGCATTCGATCTGCACTAAATAAGGACTTGACACACATGACATTGATCAACACCCAGTGATCAATCAATTGTGATTATATATCCATATTTGTTATCTTTCCACCTAAGTTTTTTATTGTCATGCCTCGGTCAAGTAGATATAAATGTCACGTACCAAAATGTCTAGCTCATTAGAAGCTTGTGAATAATAAAAGTGTTGAGTCGGCTTCCAGAGAACTTCAACGAAGCCTCCAGAGGCCCAAAAGGAGTCGAAGGATCCTAGCCAATCAGAGTATGATGAAACGTTCTAGAATTCTGACGTGGCGTGCTACTATTGGTCGGTAGCATAATATGTCGTTAACGGATTGGCTGAAAATGTGATGTTGATTTAACAGACGCCAACATCTATAAATACCTATGATTTTCTGTACAATAATGAACCTTGGGATAAAGTATTTTTCTCTCATATTTGTGTCTTCTCTCTGGTGTTCAAGTCGCTGTGTTGTTCTAGACTGTGGGTTACCAGAATAGCTTAGGAAAACGAATATAGCGTTCGATCGACCAGACTTATCAAAAAGGTAAAAAAAGGTGGGCAATATATAAACAACTAACTTTAAAATATAAAGTATCTTCTTTGTTTGTAGTAAACACTGGACAAACATGACAATCTCCACATGATTGAATATTAATTCGATAGCCTAATAGATCACGATATGATGTACGAAATGTTATTTTTGCTTTATCAAATAATTCCATTAAACGATCACTACGTAAACGTTCAACACGAAGTTCTTCTTTGACTTCTATTAAGATTTTTAAAAAATAGTCGACAGGAGAAAAGAAAACAGTTAAGTTTCAGTTATCTCTAAGGATTGATTAATCTAATTACGAAGATTTTCTGATAGGTGTTTTGTGGACAAAATCATTGACAATGGGTTTGGTTTTGTTGGAGTTTTGTTCTCTGAGCTGGATGGTTTGGTCGTGGAGCTTTCATCGTTCTTCTGAACGACATCATCAGCACAAACTTCAGATAGAAGCCGTTCAGAAGAACGATAAAAGCTCCACGACTAAACCATCCAGCTCAGAGAACAAAACTCCACCAAAACCATCCACCTGAGCTAGAAATCTTCTCCACCATCTCAATGGGTTTGGTGTTGATGAGAATGTTCGATGAATAATGTAGAATAGATGGAATATGGTTAATAATGCAATCAACCAAAGATGAACGTTCGCTGTTATTTGAGACTGATCAGAGTTGGATGTACACCTGTATTCCAATATCAATATTCACTGTGGAATTCGAACCCGGTACTATTCGTTTCAAATGCAAACATATGATTCACTTAGTTACTGAATTCATATAGCCGCCTACTTATGCAGCGGGTATGAATTTTCATTTCATTTATACTGGTTCGAATTCCGTAGTAAGTAACAACTCCAAGAAGTAAACACATTCATCCGGCAAATCTCAAAAAGGGATGAAACATACATCCCGGATTCAACTACTGGCCACATTCCATCTACTTTATGTAAAATTGTATCACAATGGCTATATATCTAGGGAATTTACACAGGATGTATCTATGCCATTACTAAGATGTAAGATACAAACCACCCATTATGTAGTTCAGTTCAAGGCAACCGAAGAGTAGTAGTCTTCGAACCAATGGGAGACATAACCAAAACAAAGAAGTAAACAATGACAAATTTAAGGTCAATAAGAACCAATTAACGTTGAGGTGTACAGAACAAGCTGTGAAATGCATATGGATAAATTCGAACACTTCACATCTATCTGAAGTTTGTGCTGATGATGTCGTTCAGAAGAACGATGAAAGCTCCATGACCAAACCATCCAGCTCAGAAAACAAAACTCCAAAATCATCCACCTAAGCTACAAATCTTCTGCACCATCTACATAAATGGATTACAGTATTGTCGACCATTAATGGTCTACTTTGAATCAATGAAGCTATACATCAAAATGAGTTTAGAGGGTCCAATACCATGAAAATATGATTGTTTATGTGAATAAATTGGAATCAGTAAGTTGAATAACAAGAAAATAGTAAATTAAACTTGATATCCCACATATATAAATATTTCGATAGTGTAACTCCAAAAACTCACTACCATCTACATGTAAGTTTACTAATAAAAATGATGCTGTTTTCTTGAAACATATGGTATACAAATGTTATTCACACGGTTGAAATCACAAGTCGATCTTGAATAGATCAGCATTGAAAACCTAGGAGTATTGGATATCAATTTAGTCCCAGTATGGAACTCTTCAACAGTCCGTATTCATGACCACGCATGCAAACACTTAACCGATAGATCAATGAACCAGCATCCAATTGTGTTAATATCTAACTTCAATCAATTCATGATCTTGCGCAACCGTTCATTTATTGTCTAAGGTGGACGATTGTCTCACGTCCCATATGGATTGGACTCCATTGGTCACGGTTTCTCACTCAAACTCCTAAAAATCCATCCTGAAGCTAGTCACTAGTAAGCGCGCGAGACCGAAAGTCCTGGGTTCAAGTCTCGTGGGAAGGATCGTGGACGCGGACTACTGAGGAGTCCCGTACGAGGACGAAATGGTCATCCAATGCTCTTTAGTTTTTAGTGGTGATCCAGGTAAGATCAACTCGTGATTTCAACCATGAAAATCCTACATTATTCACAAATTCCGATGTTGATACAAAGGATATGTTTAGTAATACAACACTTTAACACTGAGTGATAAAAAACTGATGACAAGATATTTTTAAAAATTAATCACGGTATGATAATTCACAAATACCATGCATGGTACGACCGAGAGTGCTCTCAAGTAGCCACGTGCATACATCCACTGACAGGGAAGTCTTACTCACTGCTTTCTCGCGGCACTACTGTTGTTTATGAAATTCAGGGGACGAAAAGCGAATGTCCGGTGCTTTAACCAGGATGGAGGATTCACCTAGACCAGTTGAAAAATCCTGATTCCAAACCAATGGTGCACATGGGTTGGCTCCAGGATCCTGAAGGAACAAATGGCATATGAACCAATCTTTAGTTACTGGCTACCATCGGACTGCATCTCCTGACGTTGCTCCACTGGTTTGTGCATTAAACCTTTAGGTCAAAGGCTCGGGGTTTGGCCCCGTAAGAAAACCACTTGTTTCGGTTTGGGCATCACTGCAGTATCTTAGCCCTCACATAAATCGAATGATTTATGTGGCACACATCTATCTGGTGCCTCCATGTACCAATATTAATGTGTTTAAATAAATAATAAATAAGAATATTCCATAATGATCTATACTATCACTGATCATTATTATTATTATTATTATTATTATTATTATTATTATTATTATTATTATTATTATTATTAATGGCTTTATTCAATATTATATTTTGGTACAATATAGAATTCTCAGCACAGGGTATTTTAACAAGTTACTTACTGAACAACGAACAAAAAGGCAGTAGCGAATACATAAAGAAATATATAAAATAAAAAAATATTAAAAAAAAAACCAAAAGAAACTACAAACTTTTAAAATTAAAGACATGTTAAGAATGTAAGTTATTGATTAAGTTAATTCTAACAACCTGTTCATCACAGAGTATATTTGCTAGGTAAGGTATTATAGAACTTTTATACTTTTCCTTGCGTGCATGGATTTCAATGTAATTACGTCTCGTTCTACCAGACGATATACAAGGAGAAAGATAAGAGTGAAGGGAATGGTTAGTATCTGATAAAATAACACCTGACAGGAGTTTGCATGGCTTTAGATGTCTATCCACAACCATATTAATAATGACCTCGAAAGATTCACCTCACACCTTGCTGACTGCCTTCAGCGCTCCCTGCAATATAGCAGAGTCTTTTCTAAAAATCTTGTGAATGAATAATGGAGAACAGTAAAGAATAATAGGTAATATGCAAAAATTGACAAATTGTAAGAGTAAATGACGAGTAATCCCAAGAGCATGCAATCTCTTTATGTAGTAAGTCAGACGGAAAACCTTCTTCGATAACAATAAAACGTGGGAAGACCAAGAGAGATCAGAGGAAAAGGTATCACCAAGATAATTGACCTTCGACACCGCGTTTATCAAAGAGTCTCCGATGGTACAAGCACTATGGGATCTCAAAATAGTGTTTATACTCCGTTCATGTCTCATACTAAAGTTAACAGCTTGACATTTAGATGGATTAAGTATGAGACCATTAACAACAGACCAACAATCAATACGAGACAAAAACTCATTCATTTCTATGGGATGTTAAGAGGAAGATATAGGCATACATACAGTGAGATCATCCGCGTACTTCACAAAAGTGTTTTCTGTGGAAGATGGCAGGTCATGCAGAAAAAAAGAGAATAGAAGAGGTGAAAGAACAGCTCCTTGTGGTACACCTTCCTGAGACAGTAGAGAATCTGAACTCTTTCCTCCAAACACAGTGTACTGTTCCCTTTCAGAGAGGTAGGAACACAGCCAGTTGGTTATCCAGCTGTCAGTGTTGACGCTGATTAACTTGTTAAGTAAACGTTGTCTTGGTATAGAGTCAAAAGCTGAAGTATAGTCTAGAAAAGCACATCGAACATAGTTCTTACCCTTTTCTAAGTTGAACACTATGTTGTGATGCAGAACTGCAACAGCATCTAAAGTGCTTCTTTTGCGCCTGTATGCAAACTGGTATGGGTCAGTATGCTCTTTTATCGCAGGCTGAAGTGGAAGTATTAATAATTTTTCCACGGTTTTGAGGAAAGGTGAAGTTATTGCAATAGGTCTAAATTTTACATTCTTATCACCAAATGCTTTCTTGGGTACAGGAATTATCTTCATCTTTCTCCACATTTTTGGTATGAGATTAGATGAGAAAGATCTGTTAAATGTAGTTGTGAACGGATGACACAGAACGTCAGCACATTTTTTAAAAAGGATGTTTGGGATACCATCAGGACCCAAACATCGAGATGAATTAAGCGACTGGAGACATCCTCGTACATCAGTTTCAGTGAAAGTATGAACACAGCTATTTTTTAAACCCGTAGATAGAGGGAGCATCACATCAGATGACTGACGTACAAAAGACTTATTTAAGTCACAAACATTCAGCTGGTTATCGCTCCTAAACTTTCTGTCTCCTGTAAGTTCTTTAAAGAATTTCCACATACTTGTAGAGTTTTTGCAAGATAAGAGTTTTTGAGTAAACATGCAGTTGAGACGTCTAATCTCTAGGTTTATCAGACCATTTGGCTTACGAACTTCATTTGAGTTCTTCTCCTTGTACATTCTTTCTTTCAACCTCCGTAGTCGTTTTCGTTGTGAAGATGTAAGTCGATCAAAACTTACAAAAATGGTTTCAGTGGGACAACAAATATCAAAACAGAATTTAAGGTAACAAGTGATAACATCAGTAGTGTTTTCGAGTGAGTCATCTGTAAATAATTCCCAGTTAGTCGTATGAAACATGTTTTTAAGATTTCGGATATTTTCTTCTGAGTAATTCCTATATTCGACTTTCTTGGTTTGATGTAAGAGTGTACTCTTCCCATGCTTTCCATATACTTTAGGTAGAACACGAATTAAACAGGGATCTGAGCTAGACAATGGAGCACGTTTACGAGTCGCATATATACCCACATCGTTAATGAAAACGAAGTCTAAATGAGCATCCAAACGAGTAGGAAAATCTACTACGTTTTGGTGACCTAGTGACGTAAGGAAGCTACAGTCACATGAATTGAAATCACCACATACAACTGAAAGTGAATCACTGAAGGCAGTAACAGCGAACTCAGTGAATTCATCAGCAAAAACAGATAGTGCAGATGATGTGCAATCTGGAGTAACGTAGATATTGGTAACATAAACATATTTGTATTTATTCAGATGTTTTGGACGACATCTTAGAGTTAGACAGTCGATAAAGTCATTTGAAAACTTAAAACACACAAACGAAGATCGACACCAGTTTATGTTTACAAACGTAGCTACACCGCCACCACACCTTTTTTTATTGTTCGATCGATCCTGACGATAAATTTTGAAATCATGTAGTGATACAAGGCAGTCATCCTGTAAATCATTCAACCAAGATTCTTGAATTGTGATGACACCACAATTACGATACGTATTTTGACTAACCAGGAATTGCAGATAGTCCACTTTGTTGATTAGTGATCGGCAGTTAGAATTTAGTAGCTCGGGAATTGACATATGATTAATGTTCATTCTCTTTAACGCATATTGCCAACCACCACGATGCCTTTTATAGTACTTTTTCGTAACTTGTGCAGCGAAAGGTCGTAGGCTTTTCATAAAAGCGCCTGAATAGGTTATGCGATTAATGGACATAATTATAAATTAAAACAAATGAAAAACAGATAACTTGTTGAAATGATCAGATGGCAGAAACAGGTAGCCCAGATATTCAAGCAGGCCGCCAGTGTGTCATGTTATTAATTCGACAATGGCGTTGGAGGGGGATGATATTTGAATAATCTCATTTTGTAACGAATTGAATTAAACAATATAAAATAATCTAAACTTATTTGTACCTGCAAGTTCTGTTAATGGATCAGGATTGGAACGTATACGATTTTCTACAGTATTAGTAATATCTAATTCCATAGTTACATCGTTATTTTGATTTTGACAATCACGTTTCTCTGATAAATGTATAATACGTTCTTCTAAAACCTAAAATTAAAGATATAAATACATATATAGACTGGATACAATTAATTATAATCAATTTGATAACCATTTTTTCTTGGTAAAGATAGTTTCATATATCAGATTAATGGGCTGAACGGTTAAAGATTCATATGAGCCCTGGCATGCCCGAGAGTGGGGTGGACCAGCCTTCCCGCTCGAAATGCTCTAACATGACCACGTGTATACAGTCTCTGCCAGGAAAGTCCTACTCACTGCCTACTCGTGGTGGGGGTGTAGTTTACGAAATTGAGAGGACGAAAATGTCTGGCGCTTCAACCGGATCTTAAACCAATAGTGCACATGGGCTCCAGCATCCTGAGGGAACAAATGGCGTGTGAACCAATCGTTGGTCACAGGCTAGCATGGGACTGCATCTCCTTACGATGCTCCATTGCCTTGTGGGTCAGACGTTTAGGTCGAAGGTTCCAGGTGTGATCCCCTAAGAAAACCACCGGCTTCGGTCTGGGCACCCGGGCAGTATCACAGCCCACGCACAAATATAATGAAAACGATGATATTTACTGAAAACTCTATTCTTACTGTGGCGCATATATATTTGGTGCCCTCTTGTACCAATATTTATATATTCAAATAAATAAATAAATAAAAGTCCTGGTTTCTATCCTTAATGAAGTGGTAGATGAGTACTGTTGAGTAGGTTCAAATAATAAACGATAACAATCTAATCAATGATATTCACTTTATGAAAGTATGATGAAATTTTACAAATTGTTGTTATTAAAATCACTTTCTATTTCCTTTTCTATTCTTTTCGAATCAATTTTATGCAAGTCGGCATTCCACTTTTGATTAGGGCTAGATACTACTTATCTCTGTCAACAGAAGTAGCATACATTATAAGACCATACTTTATTGTTTAATGATTGGTTATCCTAGGTTTGAGTCCCGCAAGCCAAATCAAAGATGCACATAACTGAGGAATCCCATACTGGGGAGAAACGGTCGTCCAGTGTTTCCAGAGTTTCAATGATGGTCTAGTTTAGATCGACTTATGAATTCAGCTATTAAAATAACTTATTGTCTTTCATATTCTTTACAACATATTACTGATGTGGGATTTTAATTATGTGGAACTACAACTTTTGAGACTCATATACACACATATGCGCCACACAATAACAATGAGAAGAAATAAAGAATGTAAGGTGTGTATAGAAAGGGAAAAAAAGAGCAATAACGACTCCAAATTAGTATATGGTAGTAAAATAATAATAATAATAATAATAATAATGGGAGAAAAAGAAAGGTACAACCGGAAAGAATCCTTTCAGTCAAAGAAGTTACGGTCACTTCTTATGAAGAAAGTAAAAGAAGGTTACAGCAGGGTCTCCACTGGCTTCTATTCTGAGCCATATCTGATAACATCTTTAGCCATTGTGTCACACCAACCAGGGAATCGTGAAGAACAGACAAAAGGTAGTCCTCTACAACTTTCTTTCATACTATGACACCATGTCATACACTGACTACCTCTCCGCTTTTTACAACCAGTCCCAGCGTTGGCAAATAATGCATGACATTCGTAGAACATGTCCAAGTCACCGAAGTCGATGTTTTAAGATGGTGACACCAATTGGATTATCGTCTCTGCGCCCGAACACACAAGAAATTGTCATAGGAAGTAGTATTATTTGTATTTTATTGTATAGTTAATAAACACTTAGACTGTTACATTATTACAATCCTATTATTTCTAAGCTTTTGTTTGATCTATAAATTGTTGTTGTCATATGTCATATTATCCCAGATTTATCATGATCTAATTATTCCCTTCTTATTCTTATGTTGCATTTTTACTCATATCTGAATGGAGTACATTAAGGAATTAATCTGCTTCTATCATCTTTGAACTAACCATTGAGGTCAGAATAAGTTCGAATACTAATAAGCGTAAAGATCTCGGTTGTTTTTATTGGTTGCTATGTCAACTAATACTTGAGAAGTTACCCATCCGACTGACAATATAGATAAACTAATTGATAATTGGATTAGAGGGAGAAAACTCATAACTGCTTTCTTTTCATTACGTTTCGATTACATGGGGTCCAATACAATTCAAATCTAAGAAAACGACCTTCCGTTTTCTTTCGACAGAACGATTACTATTCCGTTTTATGCAACTCATTGATTCCACTTTTCAATCTTTTTACTAAACTCTTACTAATTACACGATTATAATCTTCTAATAATTGCTAATAGTTACAGAACAAACACATTCATGCTTCAACTTAACACCTCATAAATATATAAGACACTTGATAAAACGATGAATAATCAGTTGATTTGTTAGGATTTATCGACACATCAAAAACTTGTCTTGACCTCAAGTACTTGTCAATTAAGCACTGCAGTCACAGTTGCAAGTCGCTAAGGCCCTCACTAATCCAGTTCCTTTTTCATGTCTCCTAAGATGTATTTTTCTTCACTAAGCGAGAAACCGTTTTTTAGCAAGTTAGTTTTCAATGGGATGGGGTCGCTAACCCCGTGCCCAAACCTCCTCCTTTATCCGTGCTTGGGATCAGAAGTAATCTCAAAGGGGCGCCAGGCGGAGCGCCGGAAGTGGGTAGGACACACATTAAAGAAAGTACCCAACTGCGTCACAACGCAAGCCCTCATCACTTGGAATCCTCAAGGCCAAAGGAGAAGAGGAAGACCAAAGAACACATTACCTCGATAAATGGAGACAATCATGAAAAGAATGAACAACAATTGAATAGAACTAGAAAAGAAGACCCGGGACAGAGTGTGTTGGAGAATGCTGGTTGGAGGCCTATGCTCCTTTGGGGTTAACAGGGGTAAGTATATAAGTAATTAAGTGACCAACTGGAACATGAAAACTTCCCCCACACCTCTAAGGCCACATGAGATCACCACATTCATCACCAAATTACTGCATGTCAACAATTTCGTGAGAATTTCCAAAAGCTGGGAAAAGTCCCGAAAATACTTTGAGCAATAAAAGTTATTTTTTGGAAGCGTTTAGGGGCAACTCCACAGTCTCAATATCGTTACAACTAGGCTACTCAGGTTGGAAATGATCTCATATAGGATTACGACATTTAAAATTGGCTTATCACTGAGTGGAGGAGAGAGCATCAATTCTCTCAATATTACACGTATAGCTAGCTGATGAATACCAAATAGCATGAAGCTCAAGTTTACCACGGTTTCTCACCAACAGTCTTCAACTACTTAATATCAAAGTATAGTGCAAAGTACGTCGAATCATTTGGTGACCACATTATAACTTGATATACGAAATTCGATCAAGAATCATTAAAGATTATTATACGAACGCAACATTCGATATCACCCAGTGACTAATTAATTGTAAAGTAAACCTTACTTGAATACGTTGGCGTTGACGCTCAGTTAACAAACGTAATTCAGTAATTTCATTTGATAAATCCTGTTTAATTATTTCTCCCGGGTGGTATTTATAAGTTAAAATTTTAGTTGTTCCTGTGTTGCACATACCCTGGATGTTAAGAAGAAAACAGAAACCAGTTCAAAGAAGAAGGAATTCTCAAGAAATAAGTAATAGTAGGCGAACAGATGAATCATAATGAAAAACTGCTATGATGGGATATTATGGAGACTGTTGGGACTATAAGTTGATAATGAAAATCTGCGATCAGTAATGTTCAATCATGTCGATCATGAGACAAATATCATCAATGACTAATACTGGAACCACTGGATACCGACTTAGTGATGTGATTGAATTTTAAGTGGTCTCTGAAAGGCTTGGATTCAATCCCTGTCAACGGTGTGGATGAGAACTAATGAATCCATTACTGAGATTAAATGACTTTTCAGTGCTTTATGATCTGTAATAGTTATGTTACTAAAGTGAGTCTTGCGTTTATTCGTGAAACTGACCAAATATTTCGAGTTCTTTGTCTTTTTGTGTAAATGAGACTCTATACTACTTATTATTATCCAGTAGTCTGACCAGTAGTAAATTATTTTTATGATTCCGACATAGCGGTATATGGTATTTTTTTGTCACAGTGAACTGTAGAACTAAATTATGCTGGATTACCTGAAACGAATAGAATCGATCATCCAGAATGAAGAGAGAACTTCTCAAACTCAAACACGGTGTTTGAAACACGATTATAAATGTCCTGCTACTGGACAAGATTTCGCGATTCGGAGAATCTGTATGATGATATTGACGATAGATCACCACAGAATATTGGAATAATGAGAAAAATCGTCTTGTGCGACAAAGAATAGGCGATGACATTCAGAGAAGGCAGAGAGTTTACAAGTGGAGTTGTTTTGAGAGTGTTAGAATTAGGATACAACCATTCTAAAACTCTAGATTCTTTGTAATTTTATCGTTTTTTTTTGTAATATGGATTTCATTTAAGGAATTGCATCCTCATTGCTTTATGTCTCAGAGTCATTCATAGATATTCCTATTTTATGGTACATCTCCCAAACTGTAAACAGTATTTCTCCTAACCATACTCAATCTAACATCTATTGTGTATGATACTGTTAGGAACTGTGTGTATTTGAACTGCCTGGCAATTCTCAAAATACAAAGCGTGTAATTTATCCTGTTTAGTTATTAATAACTATTTAATACAGCTTGACTTGTTGCTTTGTGATTGATAGTATATTGTAACTTCACTCTCATTCGCTTAGTTGAAGGATACATGTTCTCTGAGACTGTCCTTTTAACAGTATAGTTATTGACGTCCAGCACATTTGACAATTTCAGTATGTATGTATTTTTTCTTTACAGTCATTGCAAGAATTTATCATCAAAACGTTTAACACATAAAATGCCCCCAAATGCCCTGGTACGGTCGAAAGTGAGGAGAGTTCGCTCTCCCTCTCCCAATGCTCTCACATGGCCACGTGTATACAACCACTGTCAGAGAAGTCCTACTCACTGTCTTCTCGTGGCATTACTGTTGTTTACAAAATTGAGGGGACGAAAAGCGAATGTCCGGTACTTCAACTGGATGAAAGGACACGAAGAGTCCACCTAATGGAGTTGGAGAACCCTCATTCCAGACTAACGGTGCACATCGGCCACAGAATCTTGAGGGAAAAAATAGTGCATGAACCGATTGTTGGTTAGTGGCTACCATAACACTGACTTGTAGATCAGACCTTTAGGTCAATGGAGCAAGGTGTAGCCTTCTAAGAAAACCATCTGCTTTAGGTTTGGGCATCCAGGCAGTATTCCAACCCTCACAGAAAACAAGTGACTTGTGTGGCGCATATGTATTTGGTACCTCTTTGTACCAACGTTTATGTATTTAAAACAATAAAACACATTAATATACAATGGACAATGTTATGAAATACCTGCATATTATATATCTCTAATTGATCAACTAATTCCTTATTTTTCGTTTGTAATGTTTCAATATTCTCCTCTAATTCAGATATTTGATGTCTACAAGGCAACAACAACAAAAAACGATAAACGGAACTATGCACAAATCACATCAGTTCATCAAATGGATATTTTATAAATATGACTATTTAACAAGAACCATATGTGAATGAATGAATGAACTGGTACTAAATATACTCAATGTTTTGATTCCGGAGTCAGACAAGGCTGTCTACTCTCAACTCTTAATCTTTCTTCTAATAGTTGATTGGATTATGAAGATCTCGAAATCTCAGGGAAACCACGGAATATAATGAACAGCTCAGAATCAATTAGACGATTTGGAATTCGCAGATGACCTAGCCCTCCTATCGCATACACACGAACAAATGAAGATGAAGACAACTAGTGTAACAGTAGCGTCTGCATCAGTAGACCTCAACATACACAAGGGGAAAACCAAGGTCCTCAAATACAACACGGAGAACACCAACCCAATCACATTTGATGGCGAAACTCTGGGAGATGTAGAATCCTTCACGTACCTGGGAAGCATCATTGATGAACAAGCAGGGTCGGATGCAAAAGCAAAGGCAAGAATTGGTAAAGTAAGGGTGACATTCCTACAATTGAACAACATATGCAACTCAAAACAACTGTCTGTCAACCAATATCAGAGTTACAATCTTCAATACGAACATCAACACAGTCATACTCTACACAGAGCTGAAACATCGAGAACTACTACAACCATCATCAAGAAGGTACAACTATTTATAAATAGTTGTCTACACAAGATACTCAACATCCATTGGATAGATACCATCAGCAACAGTCTATTGTGGGAGACAATAAACCAGATTCCAGCTGAAGAGGATATTAGGAAAATACGATGGAAATCGATAGGATATACATTACGCAAATCATCAAACTGCATCACGAAGCAAGCTCTCACTTGGAATCATGAAGGGAAACTGAAAGGAGTAAGGCCAAAGAACACATTACATCGGAAAATAGAAGCAGATATGAAAAGGATGAATAACAACAACCGGAAAGGACTGCCTAGGACACGGTTGGATGGAGAGTGGTAGTGGGCGGCCTATGCTCCCCCACGAGGAACAACAGGCGTAAGTAAGTATGTAACTGTGGAAAATGACATATTTTCATCCGTTCAAGTTGCCATATCAAATCAGAATCTCTAGACAGAATTACTAAAATAAATGACACAATAATAGAAGTATCAGGAACACTATTAGTGGTAATGGTGGTAGAAAATATGATTTGAGAATGGATTCATGGAATAAAAATTACAAAGTCATTTAAAAAGCCTCCAAATGCCCTGATACGGTCGAGAGTGGAGAGAGTTAACTCTCCCTCTCCAAATCCTCTCACATGACCACATGCATACAGCCACTGACAGGGAAGTCCTAGTCAGTGCCTTCTCGTAGCGGAGGTATCGTTTACGAAACTGAGAGGATGCAAAGCGAATGTTCGGCGCTTTAACCGAGTTCTTGGACACGGAGCGTCCACCTAGGGAAGTTGGAAAACTCTCATTCCAAATCAAATGGTGCACATGGGCTGGCTCTAGTATCCTGAAGGAACAAATGGTGTATGTACCAATCATTGATCGCCAGCTACCATGGGACTGCATCTACTGACGTTGCTCCACTGCCTTGTGGGTTAGACCTTTAGGTCCAAGGCTCCTGGTGTGGCCCTCTAAGAAATATTCAATGACTATGATATTGGTTCGATTCTTGTTAACTTTCTTGCAACTTGTTTTAACATCAGCGAACAACAGATGTCAAAGTAGATGGTGAATGAAGATACAAAACCTATATGTACAAGGATCTTGTAGATAATCATCTAGAATATAGGAAATAATAATTTACCGTAATTTTTTCACCAACTCTCTATCTTCTTCATATGTTGAAGAATTTAATAATGGTGAATCAGTATATGGATCATTTGTCTGGAAGTATAGAAGTTTTTAAAACTAGAATGAAATCGGTTTTACATCATAGAATGACTTATTAAACAATCATTGAAAACTAGGTAACATTCAACATTTAACTGTTTCATCCTATATAAGATGGTAATTGGAGGTTGTTGATATTTACCACTCGTCAACAAGGTACAGACGTAATCGTGAGAGAAATGGTGCTCATTGCCGAATATGATCCCGTATCATCCAGCTTTACAACCATAGACATTATCACTGAGTTATTTGAGTTGCAACTAACCTCTTGTAAGACTGAGATGTATTTACAACTGAATGATCACTGAGTAGTGAACAATATCAGGCATATCAAGATCTTCTTAGCGCTGATTAGTGGTGTCTGACTGTGACACAGGATCGAATCTGTCAGGGGGTATCAATACCCTAGACACTACAGGTTCACCCTGGTTACAAGTGCCGAATAGCACGAAAACGAGTTCACGAAAGAATCCTGTCGGCTACCTTCTCAATATAGTGGGCACGATGTCGAGTGACAGACTAGAAGTGACCACATTGCAATTTGATTGGTGGAATTCGATCAGCACTAAGAAGTACTCGACATTGATAACTTTAAATCAGTCGGTCAGTTGCGAATGTTTCGTTCTAATCTGGGACTATTAGTACTACCACTCAACAATGAACATCCATAGCCCCGAACAACAGACTTAATACCTGACAGTTTTATACCATAATTGACACTGTTTTGGAATAACATTCCTTTCATTCGTCTTCTGTCTTATTTGTGAGTTGAGAGGATTCTAGCGTTCAAGTGCTCAAGTTATACGCAGTATATTAAGAATCTAAACTTTAGATATAACAGTAGAAGCATCTAATCATACATGTGATATATGTTATGTTTATAGAAGAGATTTAATTGGATTGAATTTTAATTATTCTTTGATGAATATATATGTGTATTATGTGTAAAATAAGCCAGTGGACTTAAGCAGTGAAATCTAGACTGTGTGTTTTATTCAATTGTAAACATATGAGCTAGATGTTAAAACAGTCAGTCAGTCAGTAACAACGTAGAACTTCGTACGTACGTACATCAGTTCGAGTTGCCACGCCACATTAGCACAGAGAAGCAGTTGTCGACTCAAATTCCGTAGTGGTAGAGGTAGTAAGAGTATAAGCAGTAATCGGAAGGATTAGGGTTTGAAGATGTTATTCAAGGAGTATAATTCAGTGAAATAAATTGGGAAAGAGAAAAAAGAAACGGACATGAAGCACTCAGAAGATTAGAATTCGGGAGAACACTATGAGTGGATACACCTGAGCTGTTGAAAACGATTTTGAACCTTGTCATTCAAGGTCTCTAATCATTGGTTGCTATCGTCTCGCGGATCCCAACCAGGTAGTCTACACCTACCAACATGGCTTAGTCCACTTGTCAGTGACTTCATGGACTTGTGCCATGTTTCGGTCTGACCGAACCTAGCTTTCTTCCAACTTACTTCTACAACATAAAACATCGCATGTCGGGGCAGTCGGTGGTTGAGCGTACGTAACACGTGTCCCAGACATCTCAACTGATGAAGTTTCACTACTTCATCAATTGATTTTCCATCCTTACCTAGTACCCGTTTCCTAACAACTGCATTACTTACTTCGTGGTCCCAGGATATACAAGCAATGTTTCGAAGACACTTATGATCAAACACTAGTAACCTACGAATATCTTCTACTCTTACCGGCCATGTTTCATTGCCATAAAGTAGGACAGAAGGAAACATCATCATGATGTTTATATTCCGTATTGGGACTCGAACCTAATAACCTTTGCCTCAAATTCTAACGAAGATACTAAGATAATTATTGGATTTCAAAGTGATTTTCTAACAAAATGTATACGTACACACACACACATAACATAAATACATAGATAGATACTACTTAAACTTACTTTATTTATCTTTTCTGTTAACTTGAATAAACTATTTAAACAAATTGTACATTCATTATAATATTCATTGAAATCATTGAATAATTCATTGAAATTAGACATTGACTTTTGATATTCTAATGGAATATTGAAGGTATCATTCTCACGTAATACATAACTATTGAATAAATTTTGACATAAATTATGTTCCTATAAAAGAGACGAAGAAGAAATGTGATGGTGGAGATCTATACTCTGGTCCCTAAATGCCCTGGTACAGCTGAGAGTTGGAAGAGTTAACTCTCCCTCTCCAAATCCTCTTATATGGACATGTGCATACAACCACAGTCAGGGAAGTTCTCCTCACTGCCTTCTCGTGACGGAGGTGTTTTTTCAACGAAATTGAGAGGATAAAAAGCGAATGTCCGGCGCTTTAAACTAGTTAGTGGATACGGAAAGTCTACCTAGGGAAGTTGGAAAACTCTCATTCCAAATCAAATGGTGCACATGGGCTGGCTCTAGTATCCTGAAGGAACAAATGGTGTATGAACCAATTGTTGGTCAAAGGCTACCATGGGAATGCATTTCCCCCAGTATGGCTTCCTAAGAAAGACACCTGTTTCGGTTTGGACAGCCGGGTAATATCACAGCCCTCACACAAATCAAATGATCTTTGTGGCACATATCTGTTTAGTGCTTCCTTGTATCAATGTTTATGTGTTTAAATAAATGAATAAATAAGTAATCTCTTACCCAAAATTGTTAATTCTCAAGCTTCATATATCCTGAAGGACAATATCATCTGAAGGTTTTCATCATACAAGGAATGCCTCTAGTGATCTGGTTTCTTTTTCTGTTTACCTTTGTCAATAAATAGTAGTTCTCATGAACAAGAAGATCCTTGATAACTTACCTCTAATTTATATTACTCTATTAACCTTTGATATTTATCTGACTGGTTATTTTCGCATTTAGTATGGTATTGTTGTCATACATTATAAAGTTATAGCAACTGGTAATGTAAACAGAGTTGTTATATGACGATTTCGACTTCTTGAAATATGAAGCTTTTACTGAGTTTCTATCTTCTCTTGATAATTGTATGGGGAGATTATCATTTGTGAAATAGTCATCAAGCTCTCTAGAATGCATAGATCTCACTCGTACTAGAAGACCTTTTCCAATGGTTTATACTTTGGAATAATCGGAGTAATTTCAGAAGATAACACAAGACTAAAGTGTCTGTGTGGACCCCCCCCCTCCCGAGGACCTTGCAAGTACACACTGTTGAATGATTTGGCAACAGACTCCAGGTCATACGTATTTTTAGAGGTGCTGTGTTAAATACAAAGTCAGAAGTTCATAGGGTTTGACCCCTGATAAGTTTAAAGGTTCGCAAATTGATGAAGAGTTTCGAACTTAAATGAAAATCATTCAGTGCTATCTTATTATTAAATTATCTAAATAAATGATACCAATCAGATTGAAAGAATAGATCAACAGGATATAGGTGAACAAAATCGTTTACTACTATTAAACGAATGAACCACCTTAAATCCCATTCAATCTGTTGATGTTCAGATATTTAGGTCAGAGGATGAATAGGTCAATATTGGTTTCTTTTCTCTTCTTGAATATGCCAGTTATCACTCCTACCCTCTAAATATTAATATACACAGTCGAATATAGTGTTTTCTTCTTCCGGAAATACTTTTATACAGCTGCACGCTTTCAAAATTTAAGGAAGTTCTACTCTACAAGTTTACATGGGTGGGTATGTTTTTACCTAAGTGAGGTAGCTATACGAGAGGTCTGGCAAATAAGCCAAGTTAGTAGTTACGAAAAGTTCACTTAAAGCAGTTACAGAACTCTAGTTTTAACCAAAGTGATGATGTGCATAAGCTTCAGCACCCTGTGTAAATGGAACCCAAATGAACTTACTACAGCTACCATTTACTAATAAGATATCATCTCTTGACACCGTCCCACTGCTCTATAGACTAGATATTTAGGTTCAAAGCCACTATGGTGGTCACTGATAATAAGAATACCAATTGTCTTCTACACACAAGTAATGATGATCATTTCTAACACGATAATATTAGGCTATTTAATAAACTGGCTTTATATTATCTCACTGATTAATTTTTAACCCTTCTCTGTAATGTAACGATATAACCATCAGGTTAATAAAATAATATTGTTAATACCCCCAAATGCCTTGGTACGGTTGAAGGTGCTGAGAGTCAGCTATCCTTCTCCAAATACTCTCACATGGCCACGAGAATACAGCCACTGTCAGAAAAATTCTACTAACTGCCTTCTCACAACAAAGGTGTTGTTTATAAATTGAGAAGACAAAAAGAGAATGATCGGTGGATATAGAAGGTCCATCTAGAGGAGTTGGAAAACCCTCATTCTAAACCGATGATGCACATGGACTCCAGGATCCTGAAGAAATAAATGATGAATAAACTCATTGTTAGTCACCGACTACCATAAGACTGTATCTCCTAACGTTGCTTCACTGCCTCATAGGTTAGACCTCTATATCAAAGGCACTGGGTGTGGCCTCCCAAAAGAACCACTTGTCTTAGGTTTAGGCACCCAGACAGTATCACAGCCCTCATACAAATCAATGGTAACTGCTACTAGCCTCATTGTTATTGTGTGGTGCATATATATTAGGTACCCCCCACTTGCACCAATCTTTATGTATTCTTCAAATAAACTAATAAGTAAATAACCAGAATGGGTTTTGTGGATATTATAGTAATTTTAATGGTTAAGATCATAAGTCAATCGAAGCTAGATCACTATGGAAAACCTGAAAGCACTGGACGGCCGTTTCGTCATAGTTTTGGACTCCTCAGAAGTGCACATCCATGATCCCGCCTCCCCCCGCGAGATTCGAACCCAGGACTTATCAGTCTCGCGCACGAGCGCTTAACCATCAGACTATTGAGCCGGTATCCAACGGTATTAATGTCTAACTTCAACCAATCGACGAGATTGCGCCATCGTGAATGCGCACTGCTGAGGAGTCCCATACTAGGACGAAGCGGTTGTCCAGTGTTTTCAAGTAAATAACCCCTAACTCCTTCCCTGGAGATAATAACATAAAATGGACTGGGAAAAAAGATGATAAAACAGAATTTGTTTAATTGTTCTTTTAAAAAAACTTACATACCTTCGTTAAAAGTTGAACAATTTGATTACCTCTTTTACATATTTGTTTTAAATCATTCAATTTACATAGAATACTTTGTAAATGATTATTTAATTGAGTTTGATCATTTTGAGTTTCTTTTAAAATGATTAATAATTCTTTGTTTCTAGAAAAAAAAAGGAATTAGAGAAGAGAAAAAATAGGGAATATTAGATTAATAATGGTTACAGATGAGGTTTATATGACATTTCATACCATCACCACCAACACACCACCCCCCATCTAAACGAATATAGTCTGATCAACTCTGATTTATCACTGGTCCCCCAAATGCCATGATACGGTTGAAGGGGAGAGGAGTCAACTCTCCCTCTTGGAATGCTCTAATATGGCCATGCGAGAAGTTTTACTCACTGCATTATAGTGGCGGGGGAATTGTTTACGAAACTGAGAGGACAAAAAGCGAATATCCGGCACTTTAACTGGGTTGGTGGATACGAAGGATTCATCTAGGTGAGTTGGTAAATCCTGATTCCAAATCAATGGTGTATATGGGCTCCAGAATCCTGAACCAATTATTGGTCACCGGCTTCTATCAGTCAGTCAGCTACAACATAGGACCAGACACATACACCCATCGGTCCAAGTTGCCATACCTCATTAGCACAGCAAGATTCATAACATCAGTTAATTCACTGATGGTAATATATAAAAGAAAGATTGCATGTAAGGAAATAGAACAGTAAGAAAGAATTAGTTCGTGGAAAGAAAGATATGAAGTGATTTTAATCTCTTAGTTTAAGGGAAGACAGAGAATGTATACACCGACGCCATTGTGATCGATTCTGAGCCATGTCACCCACGGTCTCCAAGCATTGGTTACGATAGTCACGCAGACCCCAACCAAATAGTCTGCACTTACCAACATGGCTCAGATCAGAAGTTAGTGACTTTGTGGACTGATGCCAGGTTTTGGTTTGGCCACCCCTAACTTCATCAAATGAAGTAGCTGGCATATGTGTTACATATGCTTAATTAATGTTTACCTCAAGTGGCGATGTGTGATGTAGCAGCTCGGAAGAAGGTTAGAGGCGTTCAAATCAAGACATAGCACAGTTCTTAAGGTCATTGACAGTTGGGCCGAGCTATGTCAGGTCCTTTTTTATGTACGACTGACTGACTATAACTCAGTTGTAACTCAGTACAAGTTTTTGTACCAAATTCTTAGCTTTGTTTTCTATGTGTAAAGATAACTATGGATTTTGTAAATCAATAACCCTTAGGGATATTCTTTTCTACCATCCTATACTATCTCATAAAACTGGTGAAATATCCAAGTGCTTATTAAATAATCAGAATATTGTGTGGCATTCCATTGTGTTGTACGTTGTTTAGTGTAAAATTTGTTTATTAAAAGTGGAGGATAAATGTTTAAGTAGCAATTATTTGATCAAATAGACGAGGTCACGAAGTGAATAATGATGATATTTATTGTAGAGTATTAGACAAATAGGGTTGGTAAGTTTATGAAATTGTAAACGTTTTCAATACATAGATCTAACTTATTGGGATAGTTAACTTAAGAGTTTGCAACGAAAATGTTAAAGATAGAAAAATCAGTTCATATAATCACGACTGCACAACAAAGCTGTATTGAGGGTATGCAGACTTCCTGGTTGGATTTAGCAAGATAATGTTTGTTTGAAGGATTTGTGTGCAGATGGATTCATTCTGTGTCGTATCTTATTTTTGTTTGTCTATCGTTTTGCTAAGGTAAACTGTAACATGATGGACTGAGACAGATTTAAGTTAGTAAAAGCCAGTCGAAATTTCATTAGACATTAATATACCGGAGCTGATAAAATTTTCAAGTGAAGCGGTCGATAAACGCAACTTCTACATTTTCTATCATTACTTCAGGAGTTGACGCAGGATAACACTGAAGCAGCATTTTGCCTTCAAAGGGATAGAATTATATTCCAAACATGTTTGGAATTTAAGTCTTGTTAAATATGTAAGATAATAATGGTTAGCCATTTTATTAAAATTATTTTGTTTTTTATTTGAGCACAAAGATATCGCTACAAGGGGGCACCAAATACATATGTGCCACACAAATCTCATTAGACTTATGTGAGGGCTGTGATACTGACCGGGTGCCCAAACCGAACCACGTGGTTATCTTAGAGGGTCACACTCGGAACCTTCGACCTGGAGGTCTAATCCACAAGACAGCGGAGCAACGTAAGGAGATACAGTCCCATGGTAGCCGGTGACCAACGATTGATTCACATGCCATTTGTTCCTTCAGGATACTGGAGCCCATATGCACCATTGGTTTGGAATGAGGGTTTTCCAACTCCCCTAGGTGAACTCTCCATGTCCACCAACCTGGTTAAAGCGCCCAGCATTCGCTCTCCGTCCTCTCAATTTCGTAAACCACACCTCCGCCACGAGAAGGCAGTGAGTAGGACTTCATTGTCAGAGGCTAGATACGCGTGGCCATGTGAGAGCATTTCGAGAGGGAGAGTGAACTCTCCTCACTCTCTGCCGTACCAGGGCATTTGACGGCATTTTATTAAAAAAGAATTCAATAATATGATATACTAACTTTGCATTGATTTCACCTTGTTCTGCTAATAAAACTTCATTTTCACGTTCTAATCTTCTTATAGTTGATATAGATGAATGATTATCTGATATAGGTGAACAATTTTTCGATATTATACTATTCATGAATGTTTCTTTTTCAAGTAGGGTATTCTCAGCAATTAATGCTCTTTCACGCCATTTTTTTAAAATTTCCACTTGATTGCGTAATTCTGAATTTTCTTCATCTGTAATAAGCCATTTAGCACGTTCTTGACTAAGATTTTTAAATGCAATTTTTAATCGATCATGTTCCATTTCTAATTTTGCTATATAACTAGCACCTTTCATAAATCGATCATAACCTTCTGGCATTTTAGTACGATTCGATTCTAATAGTATACGTTCTTCTAAGATTGTTTTCTCTGAAGTTAACTTCTAAAATTGTGGAGAAAACAAAACAAAGTCTTTTAAACATAAAGAATTATTAAGATGATTCATAAATCTGATAGATACTGGAGTTATAATGCAAGAAATGTTAGATATTTAATCTAACCATATAAGTGTTCGAAATTTTCCGACTTTCAGGACGTTTATTTATTTATTTAGTTAGTTGAGCACATAAATATTGTTACAAAGTGGCATCAAAGGTTGATTATGAATACAGTGGTTTTGAGTGCTGTTAGAGGTATGAGGGCGATTATCACTTCCCGGAGTACATGAAAACGAAATTGGATTAGAGGTGGTCATAGTGGCCTGAGAGCGTGACAGCAGTGACCAAGGGACAACTGGATGACGTCGGTCACACACAACCTTTTTATGAGTAATTTTTGTGTTAGCTCCGTACTTGTAGAGACCTCATCGCTGGAGACAGATATCCGTGGGATAAGGGGAGGTGTGTACTTTTAGGGTCGACCGTTTCTTACCCCACCCCTCCTTGTGGGAAGGCAGCATCGCTGTCATGCTGGTTATCTAAAGGAAACACCTTACTGCTGGCACACCTCTGTACAGTCAGCAGTGCGATTTCGCCTTCGGACCTTGGGTTTGTTGCCTTTAGTCTTACCGCTATTTAACCGACCTGTACGACATGGTAGGACCTTGAGGAACGGTTATCCCAGCCAGTATAGTTTGGCTGCTTCATCACGATAGACAAGCCCGACCACCGCGTCAAGGTAGCAATAACGGTCGGGATCAGATACATATGCGCCCACATAATTATAATGAGAATGTGAAGAGATAAAGAATGTAAGATGCGTATGGGGAAAAAGTACAACAATAAACAGAAATTAGTGTATAATAGTGAAATAACAATAATGGGAGGGCCAGTTCAATTAGCGAAAGTACAGTCACAGCGAGTTCTTCCACTTAAAGAAGTTACGTCCATTTTTATGAAGAAAGTTGCAGCAGGATCACCACTGGCTTATATTCCGAACAGTATCTGATAACATCTCTAGCTACTGTGTCACACCATTTCTAGGACCCCAACCAGGGAGTCCTGAAGGACAGTTAAAAGCCAGTCATCTACAACTTTCTTTCATACTATGACACCATGTCATACACTGACTACCTCTCCGCTTTTTCCAACCAGTCCCAGCGTCGACAAATAATACACGACGTGGAATTCTCTGGGACGACATTCGTAGAACATGTCTAAGCCACCGAAGTCGATGTTTCAAGATGGTGACACTAACTGAATCATCGTCTCTGTTCCCGAACACACGATGCCGAACCCTCTATATTACTAACATGGTGTTGCCACTGGATGTCAGCAATTCTTCCAGGATGTAGATGGTATACAAAGATAATTGAAAATGGTTATAAAAGGAAACTGATTCACCATAAATTATGCAGAATACTGCAAAATCGCCAAGGATTTATGACTTAACAGAGATAAGATCCTATGGTAAGCTGGATGGTACACTATCGGCTTATATTGACCACAATGAAAGGTCTATATCTCCTACATCCTTGATTACCATCAATTCTAGCTAGTTAATAAGTAAACTAGACGAAATTGTGACTATTTAATCAATACACAGAATTATTTCACTTATATACATCGTTGGATAAATGTCAATGTCAGAAATCTTTTCAGATTTGATGATATAAACTAGTTAATTAATATTATCTGTGAATTTGATGATTAACTTAGCTAGTTATGAATAAAACACTGAAGTATATACTTTATATTTTAATTAATTAAGTAGTTTGTGACCAAATCATCTAAGACCTAATTTTTTCTCGTCAGAAACAATAACCACGACTAATTGGTTTTGATGTGAAACCTTTCATGTATCTGGGAAGCATCATTGATGAACAAGCAGGGTCAGATGCAAAAGTAAAGGCAAGAATTGGTAAAGTAAGGGTGACATTCCTACAATTGAACAACATATGCAACTTAAAACAACTGTCTGTCAACCAATATCAGAGTCACAATCTTCAATACGAACATCAACACAGTCATACTCTACACAGAGCTGAAACATCGAGAACTACTACAACCATCATCAAGAAGGTACAACTATTTATAAATAGTTGTCTACACAAGATACTCAACATCCATTGGATAGATACCATCAGCAACAGTCTATTGTGGGAGAGAATAAACCAGATTCCAGTTGAAGAGGAAATTAGGAAAATACGATGGGAATGGATAAAATATACATTACGGAAATCACCAAACTGCATCACGAGGCAAGCTCTCACTTGGAATCATGAAGGGAAACTGAAAGGAGTAATGCCAAGGAACACATTACGTCGGGAAATAGAAGCAGATATGAAAAAGATGAATAACAACAACTGGAAAGGATTGCCTAGGATACGGTTGGATGGAGAGTGGTGGTGGGCGGCCTATGCTCCTCCACGAGGAGTAACAGGCGTAAGTAAGTAAGTAAGTAAACGGTTCTGAATTAATAGACTCGACCGAAGGCATGACTAGTGAATTTTTATCAGAATTTCGAATTTAAGAACATTAAAAGGAGTGATATTAAAAATTTAGAAGTGTATGTCAGTGATTTAGCTACTCATTTTCAATTTACGAAATAATAATGAACCTGAATCTCATTCCACCTACTTTGGTTAGGGTGTAGTGAACGAGAACATAAGTTGGGACAATCGAATGTATTTGAATACAAAATCACAGAATCCCTTAGTATAATCTGAGAATCATACAGTAAAAAATACTTCGTTTGCAAAATGTCAATCAATCGTCTCAGACTTTATTGTTCTTTCGTTTGCACATCAATCATTCTTTGTTCTCGTTCTCTTCTCTTCGACCTTTTTAACCTTCCGTCACAAGACATTTTACTCTCGACTGATGATACATACTACTTATAACTGTCGACATCAGTAGCACACACCGTAAGAGCGATACATTTGATTCTCATATTGTACAACTCCAAATTCTAACAAACGAACATACATTTGAGAAGTGATTTAGACTTTTCACTAAATTGTATGCCTTTCTTTATTAAAGTATTTCTAATATGTACATTTCCTAAGCTAGAAAAGTCCTTTTATTTCCTAAATAACTGTTAGACCCCGATAAGCATAATGAAATAATCGTATAATCTAATATTAGATCTTCACCTTTATCACCTTATGAAAAGGTTAGATAGTGAATTTTCGGTGTTAAGTTTTATTCTATTTACGTAAAACATACATTATCCGTTATATCTTGTATCTTAAAACATAAGCCAAGTTTCATAAATATATGTGAAACCTGACAGAATTAACTCCGTCTAGAGACCCCTCTGGGGCTACTGCCATTCCCAAGCCCAGATAAATGAGGAGGATTGGATATGAGGTTAGCGATCCCATCCCCTAAAAAACTAACTCGCTAAGCGACAGAATTAATTCTACTGAAAATCGATAGGCATAGAAACAACACTAAGCTTTGAAGAATGCTCCAAATGAAAAAAAGCACACACACACACACACAAGGATCAACTTACGGAAACTGTTGCTTTTAATTCGGATAATTCTTTCAATTCAGTTGATTTTTCTTCTACATACATTTCTAATTCTTTTAATCGCCTTAATAAATGAAGGTAGAAATGAAATGTTGTTCTTTATTTTTTTTTAATTAAACATTCTTACTGTGAACGTAAATCTAGTAGAGCTTCTAATTCTTTGACTCTTATTTGAAGTTGAGAATGAGCAATTTGTAAATCCGTAAATTTTTTTTCATAATTAAGTACTTCATCTCTTAAACGTTCAGTTTCCTGTAATAACAAAAGAAAAAATATATATAATTTGATTCATTTCTCTAGATTATTGATTATAATGAGAAAGAAGATTGTATTAAACAAAAGATGAATAGTGGCTATCAATGGAATCCAGGATGCGTGTTTTGTTCTATTTGGTACTTGTCAGCTGGATGTACTTGTATCTCAGAGTTGATGTTCACTCTGGGACTTCAACCCAGTGCCATCCGCTTCAAACGTTATTGCCAAATTGGACGAAACACACGTCCTGGATTCCACTGCTAGCCACTATCCATCTTTGCTTATAAAGCTTTGGACTTAAGGCAATATCAAGGCAGTCCATAATCCTAAATAACAATAAGAAGATACAAGTAAATAATACCAAGTGAATTTAAAGATTGCATTAAGTTGATATTGTTATAAATTGAGTGTTAAACAAACTTAATATGTATTTACTTAGTGTCATATTAGCTGAACTATCATTTTATATCAAGCATAGTTTAATATCAATTAACAGAACTTATGTTTCATCATAGAAATTGTTTATATAATAGAATTACTGCAATTGATATAACATGTAAAAGGTTGTGTTGAGTCGGAGTTCGAATCAGCCGTTTCATGATTTAATGTTGTGCATAGACAAGTTGTGATGTCTGGTACAATGTCAAACCCATACAGGTTATTTTAGCTTCTAGGCAGATCAGTTTATTCATCCCTTCCAGGTGACATTTTGATTTTGTTGACTAGTCGCTTATTAACAATGACTGTTTTACATGAACACAAGTGTATGCGTTGTTTATCCTAATCATCACGTGTCTGTAACTTATTTTTGTGTGACCATAAATATCGAGTCACGCTTGATCAAATCAATTTGTCTTACTCGGCTTCTCTGCTCCGCTTGTTATTCTGAAAATCTATGTAACTAAATGAACGCTTGAAATAAATTCCTCTAACGCAACCCGTATTTGACTTCTTATTACCACCGACACACAAACGGGGTTTACCTGGGTAATAAACGGAGTTGAATGCGATATTTATGTTCATAGCCTATTCATACGTTCATTCAAATTAGAATCAAATCAGCAGGCCACAAAGAAAGGTGTATAGCAAAACCCCATTTTAAACAATACCCTTTTTTAACAGATGGGAGTGTGCTAATCTAATTTAACCATTAGCTTGAGATGAGTAAGTTAACTAAGCAAAATTACTGAATTGTTTAGTAACTTGAAATGACAACACTATCAACCTGTGATACAATAAGCATAAACCTATCTTTGTAAAAGTCAGTCAATTAATATCTCTACTATAATCAAGTGAAATTAATTAACACAATTCAATACAACACCAAAAATTAAACTCACTAAAGTCAATGATGATCCAAAGCTACTGGATGATTGAATAATAGAATTTATACGATCATCAAGGTTACGTTGAAAACTTTTCATTTTTGACTGATCTTGGCTTCTCTCAAATTCTAATAGTTGATATTTTCTTTTTAAAGAATTGTGCTCGTTAGCTAAGTTATTCCTTTCTGATTCAATAATCTAGAAGACTACATATAGACAACTTGATATTACCTCCTTTTCAGTTTTTAAATTTTTTATTTTCGACTCGTGTTTAATTTGAGCAGATGATAATGCAAATTCACTTGATGTCCTTTGTGCACGGACAATGGATAATTCAGATATTAAATCCGAGCCTGAAATATTCTAGTCATCAGTACAACAAAATAATTACCATCTATACTTTGACTTCTATAACGATCGCGTAGGTCAAGACGAGAAATACTCCTTTCATCAGCCATATTTGTAGACATAAAAGAAAGACCCTAGAATAATAAATGAAACATATAGGAACAATTGTAATTAGTTTATCTTGAAAATCTAAGATAAAAGTAAACTACTTTCTTTTGAAACCTACATGCTACAGATTAAAATGACTGTATATTGCGGATACGCTGCAGTCAAACAAGCTGTTTAGTGGTATACTGAGGAAATATCATTCATTAGTAAGCTACAAAACAGTAGCCTAGTTAGTAATACCAAAACATTAGTTAACTACGACGCAGAGGAGCAGGTTATAACTTTCAGGGATACTAAGTTTACATTATTTAAACCAGTAGATAAGTGGGCAACGCGATGGCGTTTGAAAGGAACAGTAATGGGTTCGAGTCCCAGAGTGAGCATCAACTCTGGGATGCCGGCGTAGTGTCTATGCCCCCAAATGCCCTGATACGGCCAAAAGTGGGGATAGTCCGCTCTAACTCTCGAAATGCCCTCACATGGCCACGCGTACATAGCCTCTGCCAGAGAAGTCCTACTCACTGCCCTCTCGTGACGAGGGTGTTGTTTACGAAATCGAGAAGACAAAAAGCGAATGCTCGATGCTTTAACCGGGTTGGTGGATATGGAGTGTCCACCTAAACGAGTTGGAAAACCCTCATTCCAAACCAATGGTGCATATGGGCTCCAGGATCCTGAAGGAACAAATGGCGTATGAGTCAAACGTTGGTCACTGGCTACCATGGGACTGCATCTCCTTACGATACTCCACTGTTTGGTGGGTCAGACCTTTAGGTCGAAGGTTCTGGGTGTGGCACCCGGTCAGTATCACAGCCCTCACACAAACCTAACGAGATTTGTGTGGCGCATATGTATTTCGTGGCTTCTTGTACCAATACCTATGTATTCACACAAATAAATAATTTAAACCCGATAATGCGGTAATCGCCAAAGGTAAGCCTGACCCAATTATAGAGATAGAGGAATATGTAAGATTAATTCTGTCCTTAGGTCGATGCCATCGATCTTCTTTTCAATAAACCATTACCTTACAGTGATACAAGCATATGCATGTCCTCAATAGTTCGCTATGAGCATATGTAGGTAACCATTAGTGGCGTATCATGTAAAGGTATAGCTGTGAACACCGTTACCCAAGAAGTCATAGTTCCTCTGCTACATACATTTTTGTAAGTACCATCTTCACCCTTAAACTTTCTGTATTAAGGCAGTAACGTCCGTTTTATGAATTTGTTTCGGCCTACAACTAAAAATTTCACAATTATGAATGTTGGCCAACTTAGTTCGATACGGTCATCTATTTTTCGCCTAAATATACACCGGATTGTCCTAAGACCAGGCTTAAATATGCATCGTCCTAAGTCGCCATACCTCACTAGCACAATATGAACATCAAATTCATAGCAGTTACTGGGATGGTAGTGATATATATACAACAAGATCGCATATAAGGTAGTCTATATTTGCTACGACTTCATTAATAAAAATGCATTGTCAAGCGAGTCAAATCCCTGTTTTAGCCATTTAAAATAGTTCTTCTTTGTTGATTAGAATCGAAAGTACACGCACTGGTTATGACTGTCTTGTAAGCTGACAGACAACCCAACCCCACTCACCTTGAAGTCAAAAAAAGTAACACCTATCAAATGGTTCAAATGGTTCAAATGGTTGTGGACGGAATAGAAGAAGCTTTCGCTTAACAGGCTTCCGTGTCTAGTAGCAGGGGATCACCAAATCCTCCAGGCAGGAACCTAGGTATGTTAACAGTAAAAGAGGAAAAGAAATTGGTAAATCATAATGTGATGCTGTCCTTAGTCCTTAAGAATAGGTCAAGTTTCCTCTTGAAGGACTCCTGAGAAGTCGCTTGGACTAGCTCGGCCGGCAGCGAGTTCCAGCTTTTGACAACTCTTAAGGAGTAGAAGTTGTGTCTACATTCCGTCTTGCTATGTTGTGTTTCCAGTTTCTGGGTGTTACCCCTTAGGTTATTATTCGAACTAAGCTTAACAAGGTGTTTAAGAGGATGTCCAGAAGTGTTAAGAATACTATAAGCCATTAATAAATCACCTCTAAGACGCCTATATTCTAGTGGGTAAAGGTCTAGTGAACGGAGGCGTTCTTCGTAAGGCTTAGATTTGAGTCCTCGAACTGATTTCGTGGCTCGACGTTGGATACGCTCCAAAGTGACCTTGTCCTTTTGGAGTGAGGGGGGGAGTACTATGTTTCCGTACTCTAAATGGGGACGGATGAAACTATTGAAGATTGTGTGGAAAGTTCTTCCGTCAAACTGGCCAAAAATGCGCCTCAACGTTACCAGTGCAAGGTTTGCTCGGAAGGCATTTTTGTCACAGTTAGCGTAAGACTTCAAGTCATGGGGCACCAGGACTCCTAAATCTTTTTCGACTTGGGATACTACTAGAGAGGAGTTTCCTAAGTTGTAACTGTAGTTTGCGACATGTCGCAGATGGACTACTTTACACTTTAAAGTGTTAAAGGTAAGTCCGTTATCGTCTGCCCAACTTTGAAGTCGAGTCAGATCCTCTTGAAGTGCCTGTATATCGTCTTGGTTGCGTATCTCTCTCCAAAGTTTCACGTCGTCGGCAAAAAGTAATAAGTCTGATGTTACCTGTTGAGGAAGATCATTTATGTAGATCAAGAAGAGAAGAGGCCCTAGTACTGAGCCCTAGGGGACCCCACTAGGACATTCCATAGCTTGAGATAAAGTGAAATTAACCCTAACCTTAAAGTGTCGATTTTTTAGGTATGAAGTAAGCCAGTCGATTAGAGGTGGTTTGATACCTAGTCGTTTGAGCTTGTTGATAAGACACAAGTGGTTAACCTTATCAAAAGCTTTTGAGAAATCAAGGTAAATGACATCAACCTTTCCCTTGCGATCGAGGATGCTTGTCCATCTGTCCACCGCAGTCAGCAGGTTGGTTATACAAGAGTAACCCTTCCTGAAACCATGCTGTTGGGGTGAGAAGAAATTTAAGGACAGTAGATAGTCATTTAAACCGTCGCATATCAGGGACTCCATGAGTTTTGAAGGTAACGACAGAAGAGCTACCGGCCGATAACTTGAAGGTTCATTGCGTCGACCACCTTTGAAAATTGGTGTGATGTGAGCCAACTTCCAGTTTTCCGGTAATTTGCCTCGACTAAGCGAGTGTGAAAACATCACGCTAAGAGGCGTTGCCAGGATTGAGGCTGCCTCCCTCAGTATGGCAGGATGAACCGTATCCGGGCCAGGAGAAGTGTCAAGTCTTAAGTGCTGCAATTTCCGGAACACCAAGTCAGCGCTTAGGTCCACTTCAGAAAGTCCTGTGGAATTGCAGATGAAACTGTCGTCAATAAAGTTGATGTCAGCCGGTTGAAATGTTTGAGAGTAATGGGCCGCCAGAAGGTTAGCGGCGTCGCCATCGTTGTTGGTCGGACCGTTAAGACCTAGCAGTTGAGAAACTCCTGTATTGGCTTGACGAAGTGAGGCTGCATAACGGAATAGGCTTCTAGGGTTAGAGGCGAATTTGTCCATAAGCTTTGTTTGGTACTGAAGCCTGTCTTCTCTTATAGCCTTCGTGCATGTGTTCCTGATATGTTTGTATTGCCTATACGCTCCATCGTTATTAGTTCGTTTGTATTCCGCCCAACAGTGCCGTTTGCGGCTTAGGAGGCGAAGGGTACGGTTCTTGATAACTGTAGGTGGCTTGAAGCTTTTGGGAACCGTTTGAGGAACTGAATGGTCTGTAGCACAAAAGAGCGTGTGCAGTAAGAAGTCCAAATGACCATCCACATCGATTTGAGGGTGAACATCCCAAACCACCTGTTGTAGATGGTCAATTTCCAATATGCAATATCTCTGTCACAAGCTTGTATAAACTAACTGAATTCTTTGTAATCGCTTCTTGTTGCATCGGTATGTTTTCAGGTGTTTGATTATGTCTAATGAATAGTATTATAGCCACTTGACTGCCGTAATCAGTAGTGCAGAATGGTCAACACTAAATATATTTGTGGTACGAGCATTAAGCAACATATCGTCAATATACGACTGTCCACTCAAATGATTTAGACGCTAGCGATTTACTTACCATCCACTGCAACCTGGAGCATACCGCACCTATGCCTATCTTTAAATTATGGACTGTAGATATCTTATGTTCACTCTATATATACATGTAACATATTTGCGTCAGTGGGATGACGATTTGCGGGTTTGTATATTTTGTAATTCAGTTATCAGGTAGTAGGTTGGTTGCAATATGAAAATGATAAAGCGGTAAATCAAATCCTATTGGATGATTGTTTCAAGGAGAGATAATCAATTCACTTGATTGATAACGTATAGGAAGACGAAATTAAAAGAGTAAGAGAGGAATGGAGATGTTATTAAGAGATGTCGGAAACAGTTACTGTTTATGAGACGATAATAACCGTGGAATTTATGAGATATGCATCTGACAATTGGTTCAAGAATGAGGTGACGCTTCAAAGGTGAGTATGGTTCATCAATTTTCCTATTAAAGCTATGAACTTAGGCCTCAGAGAGTATTTCAAATGAGGTCATTTTTATATCAAACACGTAGGATCGTGCCTAGGTGTTCGCCCTTTGATTTGCAGTCTTTCGAGAGTTATCTTGAGGAGTGTGGTGATGACGTTCTGGTAGCTACTGGCTTTGCTTTCATGGAGAATACAACTAGTGTCCGTGTCCTATATTCTTGGTTTATAATCGAGGTCGACTGGCATCAGAACATTTTATTTTATTGTCCAATCGATTCGGATCGACTATTACATGTGATGTGATTGGGGAGGTACTTCTTCTACCTGTTCCATGCATAAAGTGTGTCAGTTTGGTCCACCAGGTTTCTTAATTTCACAGCTAACAGATGAGGGGAACTAGCTACCTTCAGTTTGTCTACCAGCCGCCTGCATCCTTGAAAGTATTTAAATACACAAACCTAATAGTAAAACCTGGACGTTTTCCTCATATTAGATCCAACCTAAGGTTTGGACTGAAGAATAACTGTCTAGGTGGGTTAGATACGCGTACTTGCCCGGCTGAAACCCAAACAAAGTGATTGGGTAAAATGACGGTTTTGAAATTCATCATAAATTTAAATGTACATTTTTACCTAAACAAATATAACCACCCAGCTATCCAGCCAATAATTGTTCAATTATTTAGATTTAAATTACAATAAGGAAGTTGATAAAGGATGCGAAAATAAATATTATTCTATCCTGTCTGCATACACCATGAACAGATTCGTTCAAAAGACAATATTTGGTTGCTTTATAACAATTCCAATTCTGGAAGAGTGCTTCAATTCACAATCAAAAATGCATAATTCCAGTCAATACAAGCAACACAGTTAAAAGAAGGAACAAACCAATATGGCTGCCGCCACGACTAAGCACAAAGTAAAACAACATGAATGCAGTTCAGGAAGAAACACGGAAACTTAGTGAAGGCGTAAAAAAATAGAAACTATAATAAAATACAAATATTAACAACCAAAATGGGATCAAAAAGATGAACAATGTAAAATTAAAGGAATCAATAGGAACAAACTGCAAATGTATACATTGAAGGGACTTTCACACACAAAACATTCAAAATAGATCTTACACTCTATTGATGGGACACTAACGAGGTTACATCTAATTTAAAGTGTTGAAAGAACGAGAGAATGTCAGAGAATTTCTAGATGTTGATGACTTTTCAAGTCTAATTTTCTTTGATCGAAATCTCGAAACAAACATATACTTTAAATCAGCAAATTTATGTCTGCCGCTACCACACGAGTGGTCGCTACGAATAACTCGAATATGTGGCACACGTATTCTTCAAGTCTCCTCATATATGTATGTGTGTCACACTGAATATTGTCCAATAAATAACGTGATATGCTTATTTCATGCTCGTTCTTCTTATGTAGGCCTCTAATGTGATCTCAGGTCACTTTGTCAAAATCATAGTACTTCGTCTGTTACTGCTGTTTGTATCTTGTGATAAGTCCATGATATAGTTCCGATATGTAAAATGGTGTGATTTAAGTAGATTTAAATTCACTATATATTGACCCTACCGAAATAAAACATTTTCGTGGTAAGATTTCATTTGTTCTTAAAGTGTGAGATGGAGGTAAATTCGTCTACCCAACAAGTTAGGAGAATACATGCTACATAATCATTATTTACGCAGTTACGTCGTTACTGTCCAACTCTAGACGATTATCTACCATAAGCCGTAGATAAAATATGGTCGCCTCAATGCTTCTAGAAATTTAAAAATTTGCTGACTGTATCACCCGCAAATTTACCATTGACTAATGACTAGAAATGACACATGGGAAGTAACCAGGTGATAATCACACTTAAAGTTGACGCATGAAATAGTACGGAAAACTTTTTGAACTTTGTAGTGGCATTGGACAATAGCCACACAATCCACAAAGCTGTGAACACGAGACTACTCAGAAAATAGATATTCAATATTTAACTCGGGGAGATACCTAACAATGGAGAAGGCGCAGAGAATGAATTGAATGGATTGAGTTGATCGAGTGGCATGGCTCGGCCATGCAGGCGTGGTCCCTGCTGGATGTTATCTTACATCTCCTATTCATATTAAATATATTGTTCTTTCTCTAGCCTAACCTTGTTCTACATCATGTATTGGTAATTGATACCATACAGTGAGTTGGTGTAGTCGATGGTGTGACTTCCACGTAAGATCTTATAGATTAGGCAGTTATATCATGACAAATCTACAATTTTAGGATTAGGTCTATTATTAGAGCAGTACTAATATCATAGTAGACCATAATTCTACATTGGTGAGCCCAACTAAAGAAACGCAACCCATTATTGTTAATCCTTATTTCCACCTTAACCTTCTCAATCGGATTTTATTTTTGTAAACCTGTAGTGGCATTGGACAATAGCCACACAATCCACAAAGCTGTGAACACGAGACTACTCAGAAAATAGATATTCAATATTTAACTCGGGGAGATACCTAACAATGGAGAAGGCGCAGAGAATGAATTGAATGGATTGAGTTGATCGAGTGGCATGGCTCGGCCATGCAGGCGTGGTCCCTGCTGGATGTTATCTTACATCTCCTATTCATATTAAATATATTGTTCTTTCTCTAGCCTAACCTTGTTCTACATCATGTATTGGTAATTGATACCATACAGTGAGTTGGTGTAGTCGATGGTGTGACTTCCACGTAAGATCTTATAGATTAGGCAGTTATATCATGACAAATCTACAATTTTAGGATTAGGTCTATTATTAGAGCAGTACTAATATCATAGTAGACCATAATTCTACATTGGTGAGCCCAACTAAAGAAACGCAACCCATTATTGTTAATCCTTATTTCCACCTTAACCTTCTCAATCGGATTTTATTTTTGTAAACCTGTAGTGGCATTGGACAATAGCCACACAATCCACAAAGCTGTGAACACGAGACTACTCAGAAAATAGATATTCAATATTTAACTCGGGGAGATACCTAACAATGGAGAAGGCGCAGAGAATGAATTGAATGGATTGAGTTGATCGAGTGGCATGGCTCGGCCATGCAGGCGTGGTCCCTGCTGGATGTTATCTTACATCTCCTATTCATATTAAATATATTGTTCTTTCTCTAGCCTAACCTTGTTCTACATCATGTATTGGTAATTGATACCATACAGTGAGTTGGTGTAGTCGATGGTGTGACTTCCACGTAAGATCTTATAGATTAGGCAGTTATATCATGACAAATCTACAATTTTAGGATTAGGTCTATTATTAGAGCAGTACTAATATCATAGTAGACCATAATTCTACATTGGTGAGCCCAACTAAAGAAACGCAACCTATTATTATTAATCCTTATTTCCACTTCAACTTTCTCGATCGATTTTATATATATGTTAACCCTGTATTCTAATAGTCCTCTGATTAATGCTCACATGCATTATCGTAATGTTATATTGATTAGTCCTCATGACAAACTAGCTCGATCGATAATAAAAACTGGTCGTCAATATTAACTCATTAGCTTTGATGATTTGTTAACAAGCTTTAATAGCATTTACATGCTTCAGCGACATAGTCTTGTTTAAACATCAAGCTCTAGCAAATATGACCTGTAAATAGCGTAAATATACATTGACTAACAATGCGATCAAGGACTAAATAGTTATCTGGATCTAATTCTTAGTGTTCCTCCACTTAACACCTCATACTGATTTAAACGATGCACTATCTTGTAATATCTTTTCTTCCGACCACTGCCTGCCTAATTTCATATTCTCGAGTTCCATTGCCAAACAACGAGGATGACTACTCCAAAAACATACGGTGAGTTTCAGCTATAAGTTTTCTGCAATCATTTTTAGATGGTTCGTTCAATGACAACCATACAATTATCTGGATTCATTCGATTGTTCTGATCCGAGCGAGTGTCAAAAACCTCAACAGCATCAAGCACCCTGGAATTAATTGCCATACTGCATGTTTTATCCTGGATGCTTTTGGATCAATAGTACTCACGAATGGCGTTATATATGTCGTCCACTGGATAATATAATTTTCAAAAATAATCCAGGCGAGTTCAACTATTTTACTGGATGATTTTTTTGTACTTAACATGTATATGCTTTCCAGTTGCTTTTGCCACATATTTGTAAGTGTCACTAAGCTAAATGCAGTAACTTCTTATGGAAGGTTTATAACGCATCATATTCCTGCCTGAAGTTTCACAAGCAGTCTTAACTTTAAAATTACTTTTCCTGGTCATGTTCATTATTTTTAAATTGTCATATACGTCAACAACCTGCTTGTTAACCTGGCCCACACATACGTTACAGTATATCTTCATGTCTTTTGAATTTAGAAATCATCTGAATCGCCTTTAACATTTATCAATAAACCTATCATAGTCGTTGTTGCTATTCGTATTTGGGTTTATGGATTGGTTTATCATATTAGCAGCCTAAAATGCGAACATAGTTTAGATAATAAGATTAAAAATTTGGGTACTATCAACTGCACCAGTAAAATAACTAAATCCCTAGGTAGCTGTTGGCTAAATAAACGTTTAAAATCAAAACTCCGTAGCCTACTAGAATTAACACTGAAAGAATCTTTCTGATATAAAATTTATAATTAAATTAGGCGTCTCGGATTCTTTAACGTTATAAATTTCTGATAATTTCGAATCACCTAAAGCAACAATACCTATTTTTCTACTGACTAATCCTCAATCAACACTATAACTAGTTAAATTTAATAGTTTCAGGATATCGTCATAAAGCATTGTCATAACTTGACAATCACGTAATATGACTGATAAAATTAATGAAACTATTAACAAAATCGGTCAGCAAATTGACTTACAATTATCACTAGTGTTGTTTTTCTTTTAGCTTCATTCACTACAGATGATTACAGTATGTTTCTCTCTCAGTTGCTCATTCAGTAAATATCTCAAAACCTTGTCAGTCTAATTGATGGTATAGCGACACAATCATGCATGCAAATAATCAGTATAAGCAGTCGAGCAAATCTCCTGCAAACTGAAAACATCAATGTCGAATTTACCCCAACACTGACTAAGGTTCAAGCCATTATCATAGACATGAGTTGGGAGTGTACTCCCCCTGGTTACAACTTATGTTCTCCCTGATAATCACATGAGCATCACTCACTATTAATCATCTTGTAAAAACTTATTTAGCTAAATACATTTTGCAGCACCACATCACTTCGTAATATGACACAGGCCTAACTGATTTTAATAACTTATAACCACTATATCTCAATTAAATCGTATTCCGCCTTATGATAAACTGCATACTTGCAACTAACTTGTATGCCCAATCAGCCAGCAAGTATAAATATAAATAAATAGTCTGCCACAGATCAGAA